GCTCCATAATATGCCTCGCGGCTTACACATTATTAAAGCGGGGCCAGTGTCGAATTTACGGGGAGGCATGGAATCTAGACCCCTCCCATCGACTAGTGTCTTATACTTGGAAAAGTTTTTGTCTTTACATGATTAAGGAAAACGAATTTTATCATACGATACAGATGGTTTAGTGAAACATTTTCTTAGCTTCAATTGTCAATTTTTTTAATTAATATCCTGATTTATTTTGTTATAAGTTTACAAAGCCAGTATAGTATCTACATTCTACAGCTACTCCCAAAATAGGTTTTTCGACCTTCTTAAGGTTGAAAACTTATCTTAAATTAACTATGAATGAAGTTATCTACTATCTAGGACATAATATTTATTATAAAAGTTATAATAAAACTATACAGTATATTTTTAATTTGTTTTGTGATTAGAATAGGCTAAGTGGACTGACATTGATGTCTGTTCATTGGAACATACCCCTCAATATGGCACTAAGTCCTAGGTGATTAAATATTGTTTTGTAATCTCACAATATAATATTATTTAACTACAATAAATAATTAACAGTCCTTAAGTTCTCATTATGTGTTTTTTTATAACACTTAAGTACAAATTTTAAATTGCTGTAATCATAAATAACTTACTTGGTACCTATGTCAGCAATTTTTTAGTTTACTAGAAAACTGCTTACATAATTAGTTAGTTAATCATGGTTTTATTATTATTATAAAGTTTATGATACAAATATATATTATATAAAATAATTAAAAACTCAAACATTTTACACGAACTTATAAATTTCATATGGTAGGTAATAGGTATATTGATTTAGTAAAGAGAAATTGGGGTATGTGTGGGGGGCAAAGGCTCTGTGTTCCGAAAATGATCTGGGCTCTCACCATAAACAAATTTACAAACTCCTAAGTACGCTACTGAGCGGGGCTAAATACAATCAATTAATTACAGCAACTCGAAACTTCTGGAGTATTTTTTTCTACTATAAATTATAATTCTACCATTTCAGTTTGGACATTACATTTCTGAATTCACTCGGAAAAAAATAACACTAGTCATTGTGGAATATGCTTGCTCCTTTATGGAAGTATATTATTTTTAAAAAAATAATCTATATTTTGAACCTTACTGAATTCATAAAATTTAAATAATTTTAGACAATATTAATTCTGGTACCTACGTCCTACATATTACAATACGATTCCATATTTCCATGAAACCCCGTGTACATAAATAAAGTATTACGTATAAGTCTTGTCACAAGTACAAAGTGCAAGCACAGATTCAGCGTACACAGCCGACGCTCTTTCTTATCAACCGCCGTCCACGGCTGACCCAATCACAAGAGAGGTTAACGAGAAACCGATATTGTTGGTCCGTTGTAAGGGTCCGTGAGTGTGATTGTCCTTGGTGACGGTGGCGACGACATTCATATTAAAGTCGGTCATAACTTATGAAACAAAATATATATATTTTTTTTTCATATTTGGTATGAGTAAACATGTATATTTATATACCTCTATATTATAATATTGATATTGAGGCAGGCAGGCAGCGAAGTCTTGAAATGGTCGGCCCATATTTTATAAAATTTCAGCGCCACGCTGCTTAGTGACGTTGTATGAATATTGAATAATTAAGTCCGTGACGAGGACCATTATGTGTGATATCCATATTAGTTTTGCATTTGATGGCATGTGTTTAACCCTCACCTCTCACACAACACTAATGTTGACCAGACAACGACGACCAAGGATGACTGATAACTGATAAGTCATCGCATTCCACGTCAAATTGGCTCCCCTGCAAAAAATCCGAACCCCGGTCTCTCGAATGACAGGTGTGAACAATAAATTACCACTATGCCAACGAGGAATGATCATGGTCATGTCAAAATCTTATAAAATATGTTAAACTTGCCCACAGGCGTGAACTTCAGTGCTACAAGTCACAGCAGAGGCCCGAGGACATCACATAAAATATGTCTATATACCTAACAATAACTACTATTATAATTAAATGCTTTTATGAGTACTTATCTGCTTTTGTAATGTTATGAAATATTCATTTAATTCAATGAAATAAAAACAAGCAAATAATCACTATTTAAAAGTATTAATAAAAGTTAACAGCACATAATACTAAGAACTATTATAGTACCTGCTATCGTCTATTGGACGAAATTCGACCATAAAATCGTTTTAATTGTAAATTCAACACGCTATAAAATATTGCATTTCTTATCGCAGTTCGGTATCGGCGTTAGTGCTTCTTCTCTTTTTATTCCTGTGAACGTTTTATATGAGAAAAACAGGTACCTACCAACCCACCTATTTCGTATTTTATTTTTTGAGTGTTGAGTCTTTAAGTTACAAATCGTGGTAAAAAAATCCTGAGTAAAAATATCCTAGGAAAATGTCCGAAGAATGTAAATATCTAAGTCCTAAACCTAAAAATTCTGGGATAAGAAAGTCTTAGATAAGAAAGTCCGGTTTATGTATATGTAAAAATATTTAAAATAATTAATTTAACCGATATATTTTGCGAATATATTGCCGATACTGGTACCCATAAAATTATTTATTAATTTCGTCAGGTAAATTATTTAGTTACATATTACTATATCAGTACTAATTGGAAGTTTGATTGTGCATCACATCATATTTTTTCTTTTACCTAATTATATGTAAATACCGGACTTTTTAACAACGGACTTTTTTACCTTGGCCTTTTTGGTAGTTTACCCGGTTTACCGTTACAACCACACGGACATTGTGTTCTAATGTAAAATTGAATAACAACCGATATTTAGCTATTATTTTCTTTATTTATATAAACATTATTTTGTAAATCTACTATATTCTAATACTTTATCCACTGTGGCTTGGTGTCTGGTTGCAGTCATAAATGTGCTCTGGCTACCATCACTGGCCGATGCCACTAGTTCTCGGTTGGGTGATATTTAGTATTTTCTCCCTAATATGTGTATAGGCGGAGTTATTGGTGTACAACGGGGATGGGCAACTCAAAGTTACTCGAAGGCCAATTTTTAGAAAATTGAAATCTAGTGGGCCAGATCTGGGAAAGCAAGAAAAAGGTCATTCAAAATTTAAATTTGTGTTAAAGGATTATAGACGATACATTTTAAAATAGTATGATGTGTAATTTGAAAATTTAGCTCGGCCGCTCGGGCCAGATAAAAAAAGCTCGAAAGCTGAATGCGGACCGCGGGCTGCCAGTGGCCCACCCGCCTGGTATACAACATACAAAGTGCAAGTGCTTGCGTATTATTGTATTAATAATATATAAGTAGATAATACAGATATATGGAATAAACTTGTTCTATATATATTTGTGGAGATACTAAAAAAAAAAATATTGACACAATATAGGTACATTTTTTTTATTTATATAGCTAGGTATTCATTCTTCATTCTTCTATTAAGGAGAAAACCTTTTTAATGTTTCTTAAGCTTTTTTGTATCAATTACATTATCAATATTTATATTACACGCAATTTCTAGCTTGATGAATACACCTAGTATGTAGACAGAATGCAGTTTCAAGACATTTACTGCGTAAGTTAGTTTTCCAGTATTTTAATTGATCTTTGAAAATGTTCATTCACAAGATCAGCTTATTTCTGGTGTAAGCATACATTTGTTTAATGCTTGGTCAACATTACAAAGTATAATTTCCTTTTAGTACAAATTTACCCAATGGTCCATTCTCTACATTTATTTTTCTTGCCTTAAAGTATAGAACCTATAAGAGCTTTAGACTTAATTTCTGCTCTCAGCATATATATTTTATATCTAAATATGTCATGGACAGGACTGAGATATCATTTCTACTATTTGTCTGTACATGAAACTAATAAACTCCCAATATTTTGAATTTTTAAGCATACTCATTGTTTTATTATTGAATAGATAAATACCTATATTCCAATTGCAGTTTTTTCTAATAAGTATGAAAACGAATTTAATATGAAAACTAAAATTAATAATGGTTGTAAACTACGTAAATGTGATAAAGAAATATATTTGAGACACCCAACCTAACCAATTTTCATCACATGGAGAATTTTCCCGGCTTTCCGAATATGTAGCTTAAGTACTCTGCCATCATCCGGAACATGTACAAAAAAATTGAGGAGAGAAGGGAACTCGGTATCTAATTTGATTTAAAATTTGAATATTTTTCATTTAAAAAGCAGAATTAGTTCAAAAGCTAGGTATCAAACCTTTTTTAGTTATTTTGTCAGATAGATATTTTTTCTGACATTATCTAGAAATTCATATACTTCATCACTTTCCGGAACATAAGAAAAAACAATTTAAAACGATGCCTATAGATACTGTCAGGTTACAAGGCCAAGTACAGTTCAGTAATTAATGCTACGAGGATTTATTTTATAATAGTTTAATCATTATTATAAAATCAATGCTGAGTGAATTGCATAGGATCATGTCTTATGTTGTGGTTAGGTAGTTAGGTTATATTATCCACTTAAACATTAGGAGGCGCCTAAAATATATTGATATGCAACCGAAAATACAAGGTTTCTTTAAAATTTAATTGTTTTTTTCTAAAATTATATTCCATTTTATTATTAATCATTTGAAATTAAAACTTTAAATATTGTAAATCTAAATATTGTTGAAGATGCAGTGAAACAAATATCATCATAAAAAATGCAGACAATTCACAACTATGATTTAATATTTAAACAAGCTGTATTAAAATGTTCCTGATTCTGACAGTGAATCAGAGTACATTATTTAATTAGATCTAAACTCATTTACTAGAATGTAGGAGTACTTTAAGACTTAAAAAATTGTTGTTTTTTAATTTTAGCTGTAAAAATTGCATTTGCCTAAAAAATGTAAGCAATTACGTGATATTCAAATTAAAATATAATTTATTATTGTTATATTTTTATAAAATATATATTTAAATAATAAAATTTAATATTATTATTATCCAACATTTTATCCTAACAATCATAATATATTACAAAAATTACTAAACATAAAAAATCTATTTTCTAGATTGTATGTTTATGAATTAAAACTTGTAGGATAATTTTGCTTAGCTAAGAATGGATTAAACTGAGAATTATACTTTTGAACAATAGTTGGTTTTGGTGGTGGTTTTGAAACTTCGACAGGTACAACTCCATTTATTCTTGCCAATAATTGACTAGCTCTAAACCTCTCTTCCCTTTCTCTCTTTAATCTCTTTTCTCTAAGTTTTTCCAAAATTAATTTGTTTTTATTTTTGTCATTTACTTTTTCCTTTTTCTTTTCTTTTTTCTTGTGTTTTTTTTTATGTTTTTTGATAGGTGATTTGTCCTTTATTTTTATTAATTCTTTTGAATGTTTACTGTCCTTCAGATCTGTTTCAACATATTTTTTCATGATAATAAGTGGATCATTAAATGTTTTAACTTTTGTTTCAATTTCTTTATCAGTTTCACTCAAGTTTAATCGTTTTGGTTTCTTGTTATACCATTGTACATTGCCAGTTATCTCATCTGTGTCCTGTCCTAAATAAGTAAGATAACCCACTTTTTTTTCATATGCTTCTTTTTCTTCCTTTTTTTCCTGTTCGTGTTCTTTGTTCACACCTGTATGAGCAACATGTCCATCTTCAAGGTCTTGGAAAAAATTAACATGACTAAGCACCTCTGGTTTAGTTTCTTCAGGTCGATCGGCAGAATCATCATATCTTTGTTTTGACCTATTTCTCAGCAATGAAAGTTTTGTTTCTTGCTCCTAATGTAAAACATAAATATTACTAATATGCATTTTTGAATTATTTGTAATTTTAAAACTATTTTATTTTAAAGAGCACCTCTATCTATGGTTATAAATATGGGAGTAAATATGTAATGTGTTGATGTAAAGAATTGAATTTAAAAAAAAATTATAAAACTAAAAATGTAAAACATAGCTTAACAGATTAAATTAATGTTATCTATGATTGAAATGCATACAATTTTTTTACTAAAATACCTATAAATTATAATTAGGTAGGTAACTCCTTATTATGTATAAGATAGTTTTCACTTTTCAAATGTAATGCAAAGTACATAGTTTTTAATATGAAATTTATTTTTTAACCACTTACAGCTAACTGTATCCTCATCTTAAGTTTCTTCTCTTCTTCTGCTGCTTGTGCTTCATCACGCCTAACACGTGCAATGTTATCTTTGGTTCGGACATGCCACCTATAATAATATTAATAAGGTATGTTTAATGATTATATTTTAAGAATATTAAGGAATTCATTTTATTCTTGCTAAAAAAAAATGTAGACTATACTGATTTTAAAAAGCTTCATATTTGGGCTAGGACAATCAGTTATAAATGTGATAAGTACATCACAAAATTGTATTGGAAGTTTATTGTTTTTATATAATGAGAACAAATAATTTAATTTTAAACCTTTCTCAAAAATTTGATCCAGCTACAGCCTTGTAAACAACCTACCTATTAATTTAAAAAAAAAATGAATGATGATCTTGTTTTACTAATTTAATATTATTCTAACACGATAGTCTTTTAATTTTTGTATCTACTTATTAACTTATTTCATAATCAATTCAAAACATTATATTGGAATACAATTTTTTATCTATTACTTAACACAATAGCTAAATTCAAGAATATCACTCCAAATAATTTGACCTTAACGCTGCTTAATGTTGCAATATTTTTAGAAACAGTGAATGGAACATTTTTTTAATTGACTAAATTAACCAATAATATTTTTTCAATTAAGACATTTAAACAACTAGTTGTCTATACTTTTAATTCACTTACCTCTTTTTTGGTAATATATTCATTTTGATGTTTTCTGAAAAACACACTACTTAATCCACCGATCGTAGAAACTTCCTAATATTTATTTTGTCGTTATGAGTAGTGACTACCTAATGAAGAAATGAATTATTAAATATTAAAATGTATATTTTATAATTGATAATTTCAATATTCACATTCAACTGTCCAAAATGGATTATGATTTATGGAATAATATTTTTTTTATCATTTGTCGGATCCTTATCAAGAGCTTATCACTCTATATAAAGTCTGTGATAACATAATCTTAAAACATAACAGCCAGCCATTTTTGAAAAAAACTATAAATTATTTCATATAGTAACTTAAACAGGTAATCTGGTAATGAACTAATGAAAGTTTTTTTTTTTTTAAATTTACAATTTCAAAATAATACCTAGTTACCTACTAATGTACTACTTTAGTATTATTTAAGTAAACAATATTAAAAGAGCCCTACTTAGGAATTTTGGGTCCAGGATTTAATTTTTTGATGGGGCTGTTACCTTTAAATTATTTGACTTATTAAATAGTTTTCCAGACAAAACAATAAACGTAGCCAGTGTGTTGAGAAAATATGAGTGATTTGCGTGAGTGTAATGATATATTTAATGAGCGATTAGTTTTAAAATTGTTTTTCTGAATACAAATTCTGGTTCTCTTAAGCAGCTTAATTAATAATTCTATAAAATTGTTGTTTAACACTAATGGCCACATTCCCGAATCTTGATATAATTCATTATCAAATTCAAAATTGAATAATTATGAACATCCGAATTAAAATTAATTACAATCGTTGAAATTTCTAATGAAGAACAAATATATTATTTTCAGAAATATTTTTTTTAAAAAAATGAAAATGAATAATTATGAACATTCGAATTAAAATTAATTACAATCGTTGAAATTTCTAATGAAGAACAAATATATTATTTTCAGAAAAATTTTTTTTAAAAAAATGAAAATGAAAAATTATTTAGGACCAAAATTATCTTTATTAGTTGCATAAATTTCTACTTCGCTTACACTATTGATAGTTTCAAAGAAATTCGTTAGCCATTTAGGTAACTTGCTGTTGCATCTTCTGCCTCTTTCTATTTAATTTTCGTTTTGCATAACCACTGAGATAAATCATATTTTTCTTAGACATTTTCAAATTTCAATAGTTGTTGGCACACACTAGTGACGAACAAAACTTAAGAATTCGACAAAAAACTCATTTATCATCACAGCAGTCGACAGAATACTAACAACTACATAACGTACCGATTACTGAATACTGATTATACTAATGATGCAAAACTGACCAACAAAATGTATGTAGAGATAAACTTACTGTAGACTGAAAGGTATTTACTATTTTTACCAATACATTTTTACTCGCATTTAGACGTTCGCAAAAACCAGTGATATTTTTAGATATTACAGCTGTTGCTAAAAGGTTGATAATTAGATGACAGAATGGGTTGAGCAAATGATATGTGCTTTTGGCCAACTTTACTTTAAAACTTAATAGCTTATTTTATCGATTATAATTTTAAATTCCATTACGATATGTGACTAATTTGTTTTGTAAATATAATAAATGTCTAACGAAAGCAATCAGTGGCGTACTTAGACCTGAACTTTGGGGAGTGTTTTAATTTTTTTAATTAACATATTAGATGACGTGACATCTGAACATAACAAAACATATTGTATATTTAATAGATTACTAATTTTTACTCGTGATATTATTTTTTATTGACATGTGATAATTAATAAATATGTAATTACTACTTAACCATATTATGTATATAAAAAAAAAATGTTAAATTATACAAAAATAATAATAATAAAAAAAAATTTAAATACTTATATTTTTTAGAACATTAATTTTCTATTTTTTTCTGAAAAAATATCGACCACTTCACTACTTTTTATTGGTATTTCTCTGTGAATACTTAGATGAGCCAATCCATTTAGACAATTTTCCCCCGTGAAATTCCTCAAGTATGATTTCAAACGTTTTAACGTTGAAAAGCTCCGTTCTACGCTAGCAACTGTGACAGGCAACGTAGAGCCAATTTTTAAATATTGGTATACTTTAGGAAACAGTAACTCATCACAACAATTTATGGCATCTATAAAAGTACAAGGGAGTTTATCTTCTGCAGCGGCTATCCATCTTTGTTTCCACAATAGAACTTCTTTGTTCACAATATTGTCACATGAGCTTATTACGACTAGCCACTGTTTAGACATCACTTCAGTACTTGTCTCAATTTCATTTTCTGATAATTTTATTAATTTGTTTGGTATAAAGTTCTGAATAATTGAGACTTGAGAGTGTATTTGTGTGTTTGGTAAATCTAATTTTTAACTGCGAAATGAAATAGTCAATAAACGGGATGAATACAGATACCCGATAATAATTTTCTGCTGAAGTTAACTCATAATTTGCTCTATGTTGTTGAAAATGTGTAACCCTTGGAATTTTTATATCTTTCCGATTTCCTTAGCAAGTTGTTCAGCCTTCAGCTGTGCTAAATAAATCATGAAATTTCGACTCTACATTCCTACGCATTTCCTTTATTAGTGTACTTAAATTATTAGCAGTCTCCATTTCAGATGCTAAGTCAACATTTACTTTTTGTAGATAGATTGATAGTGGGTGAGCCTTTGAAAAAATTTCTTGGATCACGACCATAGCAAGAATAAAATTTCCATTTTTGAGAGGTTGTTGTAATGTGAACGCTTTTTTTGATGTTTCTCTGTTACTTTCCATTTGTATATTTTCTAATGCAAAAAAGATTGGCACAAAAAGTTCCTTGAATGTAATTACAGCATCAAGCCGTTCGATCCATCTGGTTTCACAAAGCTTCAGTAGTCGTTTTTTTGTTTCACACTCTAATTGGTGGATTAAATCCTTTAATATGCTCGATTATAGATTAAAGTGGCTACCCCCGTTAGTACGCCACTGAAAGCAATAACATCATATCATAATACCTATAACCTATTAACATTTAACACTTCACAGTGCCACTTTCATAGTTAATTATAGACAGTGGCTTGGGGCTGCAGCCCTAATAGCCCCCCCCCCCCCAAGTTGGTTTCTGAATATTCATAATATATTAGAATATTAAATGGAAAAATATAAATGATTCTATAAAGAAAAGAAGATAAAACATTTTTTGAAGTCCCCCTAAGCTCCTCCCTCAATATCCACCTTGGACCCCCATATATTATATTCACTTAGAATATAAAAAATATTTTTTAAAAATTATTATTTTTTTTTCCGTGGCTCACATCCGAAAAATCAACCGCTAAACTAGATTTGTTCCAATAAACGATAATATACTTATTAATTTAAATACAATATATATTCATGGTTAGGTGCTCCTAAATCGACATTAAAATAAGAATGCATCATTACCAGAGTGAATACAATTTGCATTAGTTAAACAATAGATCTTCTCTCAGGAAGAGAACACCGAATACATAAATGAAGAAACGCTCCAAAATAATTTTTATCAAAAATGTGGATGTGTATTAATAATTATTGTACTCTGTACGATATAAATATATAATATATTATCCTCCTCTAGGATTTTGCGATAAGAGTGATAAGACCAGACGAACAGTGCACGTGCGCGACGGAATGTAGCCGGCCGGCCACGGACTTTTGGTCACACTGTACTCGGAAGCGCCGGGCCAATCATTTGCGGCCGTCGTCGCTGTCGCCGCCGTCGTTCTCTCCTCTGACCGTCCGCCGTATGCCGTATGATAGGTGCTCGCACGTAATATCGTGAATCGTACAATGTTATAACAATATTGCATTAATAGTAATAACAACAGTTATACGACGACGGACCTTATATTTACGGTTTTCACTGCCGGCAATCCGACATCCACACCGACACCGTAGTCGCCGAACTGTCGTTCTTGCCTTTTTCACTCTGCCGTTAGCTAGCAGCAGTCACTTCGCTCGAGATGGCCACCTCAAACACAGTGGGTGAGTACACGCGGCCGCTCCGGTGGTGCACGCCGGGACGTCGCTGTCCGTCTTGTCCCGTCCACCGACCGGCCACATCGGTTCGCCTCGTCCACTTCGACGGTTTTGTGGTTGAGCGACGACGGCGGCGTCCGGGTTTCCTTCGAATTCCGTATGGTCTGTGATCGATCGGTCCGCTGTTCCGACAAAATAATTGTTGTCGCATAACATTTTATTTAATATTTTACTAAATCGCGACTTTTTGTTCGGTTCCACGTGTATTCCCCAACTCCAGTTTAATTACTATCCACATATTGTATAGCAATTTATCATTGAATATTTCCACGGTTGTCTGCCGACACGTTGAGTGCTGAAGTGTGAATAAGTGGATGAAAACACAATCGCTCTTCACCTGACACCAAATTTTGTAAACACTAAGGATTTGATTTGATTCCGATTATATTGTTTTTTTGTGGATAGCAATTAGACAGCCACAACACTGTTGTCATTTAATTATTCATTGCATTTTTATGAACATTTTATTGTTTTAGTGATTCCAAGGAATTTTAGACTACTTGAAGAGTTGGAACAAGGTCAAAAAGGTGTAGGCGATGGCACAATTAGTTGGGGTCTCGAAAAAGATGATGATATGACTTTAACCCAATGGACTGGAATGATCATTGGACCACCTAGGGTATGAATATATTTCTCATTCTACCTTAGTATTTAATAAATATCATGTTTAATTGAAGTATTATGTAAAAATAATTATGTTTTCTTATTTAGACTCCTTATGAAAATAGAATGTACAGTTTAAAAGTAGAATGTGGTCCTATGTATCCAGATGATGCACCTGTCGCTCGTTTTGTCACGCGCATCAATATGAATTGTGTGCATAATACAAGTGGATTGGTATGTTGTATGATTTTTATTTTATAACTTTTCTATATCTGTCATGTATATTGTACCATGCCACTTATAAAAACTATTTAAACCAAACATAATAATTCTTAAACAATAATTTTTGAAATTTAATTTCACACATTATATAAAGTCTATCCCAATTCTTAAATTGACAAATTTAATTTGTAATTACCATAAATTACTATATTTAATATAAATAAAAATTTATGATAAAGTAGTAGGTACTATAAATTGTTATTTGTGCATTACCTACTACATTATTAGTACTTCATTTATATTTTATGAACAGTAATGTCTTGCTGACCACATTCATAATGAATTTCACCACATTTTTCTTTATGTAATTAATTTAAATTAACTAGAGAGCAGAATCTTTGAAGCCCAAATATGTATTAAATAAGTAACCATTACCTATTGGTTTTTGTATTATAAAACTAGAAAATGCAAGTATTAAGATATTGAGAATAGCTTATTTTGTACCAGCCATAGGTATTTATTTATTATACATTTAGTCACCTAATATTTTCAATCATTGTTTTTCTTTATTTCTTAACTATTATTTTACCAAATTTATAATTATACAAAAACTTGTACAATATAATTACAAGCAATTATGTTTCATATTGTTCTACTTTCTACTAATGACAAAAATTAGAAATTATTTTTTTCAAAATGTATTAATATAGTAAAGGTAGGATATCAATATCTGAACACCAGCTATTAATTTTTTTTCTTATATCTGTTTTCTGAGTAGTTACTTATTTTTATGTCTTTTATTTTAGAATGAACTGAAATTATTACCTCAATAATATGGTACTTTACTGTTTTACTACCAACCAATGCTTTGACTACCATCAGTCTCAATTCTGTTATCAAAATTACCCCTTGATTCCGCAAATTATGTTGTCCACACATTTCAAAGTCTATTGGGTGATTAAATCTACCATGAGTTGGATCTAAGTATCTAATTGGTGCTCACAATTATTATTTGTATTTAGTACATATTTACTATTCAAATCACAAATGTAAAAATATTTTGGAATCCGTTCACCTGAATTCCTGTACCTTTCTTCTCTTATTATAGGATACTGCTCTTTCTTAATTTCCTCCAAATACTGTTGTATTAGAAGGATGATTTTTAAAACATAAAATAAATTAGTTGTTTAATTTCTTATCACTCAAAATATACCTAAGCATGAGCTAAAACCTCAATATAATTATTGGTTTTGGCCCCTTGGTGTTAGTAAATTTTATTGCAGTTTCATAACATTGAAAAACGATGATTTCTGAACATTTTATCTTCCTCGACATCCATATAACCTCGAATAAGTTAATTAAGTGGTTAAGAATTCTTCATTTTTACAAAATTAATTTTTATTACTCTAATTATTCTATATTAAGGCTTCAGCTAACAAGTCATTTTTAGAGAGTTGTGTTTAAACAATATTATTTTGTTTCTTGTAGTGTAGTCATTGCTTGTCCGTCGCAAATATTAAAACTCATTACAATAATGCAACTAAACAATTCAATCTATGTATTAAAAATTAGGTAAATAAAATAAAAATGGTGACTCAGGAATTAGGTGAAATTATTTGGGACAAACTATGTCATTACAAGTCCATCATATATAGTTGGCTATCTGTGCTCTATGTAGTATATTATAGATTGGCTCTGTACTCTTTCAGTTTAACCCTTATATTAATTTTAATTTTCATATTAAATTAATTATTAGCTTCAACCAAAAGTTGCTATAAATTTACATGTTTAAGAAAACAATATTTTATAGTTATAAATGTTTTTTTTTTAGGTTGATAATAGACAAGTGCCAGTATTGGCTAGATGGCAACGTGATTATAATATCAAAACTGTTCTGCAAGAGCTTAGACGATTAATGACACTTAAGGATAACATGAAAATGTCTCAGCCGCCTGAGGGTAGCACATTCTAGCCATCGCCGCTGTCTGAACCATGGAATAGTTTGTACCTTGCGCCTCGCTACCAACCCACAGCAGCCGCACCGGTACAACCTACACAGCCGATGCAAGCAGTACAACAACAACAACAGCGTCGCTTCATTGGTCGTTGCCTGAGGATTATATTCCCATGCTGCTATTATACAGCTCCTCAGACCGACACCTAGATTTTACCTAAAATGTTTGGGAAATGTCTACCCCATTCATTTTTGGTTTTAAACATATTTCCACAGAAATATAAGTTTTACAGGTCATTTTGTTTTATAATTTTTGTTAATTTTTCATTTAATTTCATGGTTCAGAAAGCGATATCACACTTAGGCATATTTTATATACTATTTATTATATTATATTATATACTCTTAAATAGATATCTAGACAATGTTTTATTTTAAGTACTAAAAAAAAAACTAATATTTAAATCATAATGAATATAACTTGAGGTTATTTGTGGGTAGGTAATTACTAATTGAATTAGATAATTTTACTAGTAATCACATTCTCACAATAGATTCTCACTGTCTTTAATAGGTAATGAAAACATTTTTAATATATAATACTGATCATAATTCATGTTTTAAACATTAGATTCACTTCAGTTTCTGTATTTTGTGTTATTTATTGTACTAGTTTTTAATATTTAAGAACTTGTAAAAAATACAACACATATTTTATGTTTTTAAAGGGTTTAAAAACTTATTACCTGAAGTTTATTTTTAAACAATTTAATTTATATTATATTTTTAATTTTACATTTAATACATTTTTAAATATGTGGGCAAGCCTGAAATAAATACTTTATAATTGTCTTGTCATTTTAAATTCTTCTCTTTTCTATTTCTACTTACAACTAATTAAAAATTCTTCTAACTCCTTAATCTAGTATCATTTAAACATTTAGTTATATAACACTGTTAACATTTGCCATTATTATTTTTTAAATAGTGTCTATGGCTGTCAGCACTGTTAAGCTTACACTACTGTTAACAGATTATATATTTATTTACAGATTTAAGCAATATTAAACAATTTTAGTTAAAATGTGGAATATTTTAATTAAATATCTAAAATAAGTTTGTAAAACATGACTGAAACTAAATATAATCCTCCAATAGTTTTTCAGTTAATTGTTTATTTATTTAAATTATGATTAGTAGTTAAAAAATATATAATATATTCCTTTTTTGGAATAATTTGAGAAATGATAACATTTGATATTCAGATTTTCTCATTAAATAAAACTAATGATTAACAAAATGAATAACAAACCAAATTTAGAGATGGTGTTGAACTGAAAATAAACAATAATTTAACCCAAAAGTATAAAAACCATAATAATATACAGTTTGATATCTATAGTCATATACTCATATGTATGTAAAAATTAAACTATGTTTGAGAAACTAGTATTTACTATTTTTCCACTAATATTTATGGATGATAAACAGTAGCATCAGTTGGTTATTACTATTCAAGTTTACAATAGACAAAGAACAAAATATTGATACTGGGTATTAAATATTTTAAAACCACACCAAGTTTAACAAGATATTTTATGGGTGCTGGTTCAATTCAAGCTTTGGAGTTCTTAATTGATGTGCTCTGTTGACTACAAAAAGCAGTATTCTTTGAAAAAATAAATTATGATATTTATGAGAAGAAAAACTATAATATTATTATGTGTAGACATTTTTCTAAACTTACACTTTAAAATTTTTTTCTAATAGTGCTTGAATAATTTTGGGAACTAAAAATTACAAGTTAAAAGTGAAAAATTTTAATCGATATATGACAATATTGTAAAACATTTATAAAATAAAAAAATTGATCTCCCAATTGTTATGATGCCGAGGGATAGATAAAACCAAAAATATAAGTATTTGTTTAAAATACCTATAAACTTAAATTTGAATATACAAATTGTATATTAGCTTATATATATTTATATTAAAGAATACAGAGTATTAGTATTTGTTTCCATGTTTTTGGATACAAATGTATATTAAAAATTTCAATATTTATAATATTTCCTGGTAAGTTCTTGTCATGTGTCACTGATACATTACAAAGCTATAGATCCATAAGGTACAAATAATATTTAACATAGAATTATAATAAAGAAAATAACTTGATTTTGATATGTCTGTAGTTAATACTAAACAAATAAATGATTGAACTCTGTACTCTGTAAAATAGGTATTATAGGTATTCATTATTAAATATTTAGATACAGTTTATACATTAAAAACGTTTCAATAGCCGCCTAGCTCACCATAAGAATCCGTTAATCTCCGACCTATCATCTGCTTCAATCCCAGGTAACCCAGTCAAAAGACAGTGGTGTCGCGACCTGCTAGCCTAATTTAGTCCTACTCATGTCGTAGTACCTCCGCTGGGAGGCCTCTACATTCGGGATAATCTGTCAGTTATTTTTTTATTTTATTTTATTTACTTCATCTCTTATTCTTATTGTTCATGTATTGAAACAGATTGAATAAAAATACTTTGATAACAAAAAAAAAAAAGATACAGTTTAGGAAAAAATTGTACATACATACTCTTAAAGTATTTCTACATCTCACCACTAATCCGTTAGGTTAATCAAAAAGAAGTTATTTGTTTATAGAAGCCTTCTTTACATCATGTACATGATGATAATTAAATAACTACATATTATATTTTTATTATAGTCCAATTTTTTTTCATGATGTTGACAAATTTGTAATATTATAATTCTTGCCACAAAAACTGACACCTGACCACCGTGCCCCGTGAGACATACCCAGCCGTTAGCTATGAGTTCTCAAACTAAACCGGTTATCGCAGCCACGAGCTTGCTGCATCAACGAATCGTACATTATGAAAACCACTGACTCGAAATGGTCGCTAGGCTCGTGAGTCGTGACGATCAGGGCCCACTTTTCGTGGCTATGAATTTAGGTAGGTATCTAATGGAGAATATAAGAAGATGGATACCGGATCCTAAACGACCCAGATAGCGTTGATCGGATATGATGAGGGTGGAACACACAGATGAAATGGCCATGGAAAGGGAAAAATGAAGGAATATTGTTGGTGAGGCGATGTGCTGAACGGCAGGCTTGTATGATGCCCAAGAAGAAATTGAAGAATTTTAAATAGGTATCAGAATAGATTACAATGTTATCTAAATCGATGACAGCATAATATGTAATTAAATACCTAGTTTTATAGTTAATAGGTAATTTTTTTTGTTTCTTAAAATACATTTGCCTACGGGTGTCCTACCATTCTAAACTTTTAAAGTTCTGTATTAATTTATACAGTATATCAGCCTTCAACCCCCTCAACTGACCTCTAATCTGTTTTTGTTTGTACATTTAATTTTTTTATCGTGTCTTTAGACTGTGTTAATTTATAACATACTTAGTTCATAATTTATTATTCTTTATGGTTTAAAATATTGCTTATATTTTTCGAAAATCATTAAAAAATATGTTCAGTATGTTACAACTTACAAGGAGCTTAAAATAGCAACTGGACACTGGTGTAATCGCAGCGATCTGTGTCCGTTTAATCGTCAACCGTACGATTTGTTTTTAGAAACAAAGATAATATAATTTCCTAATTTTAATTAAAGTATTCTTGTCTATGCCGTCTATGCCTCAATGTTAATTTGGTTAAAATAATAGGTAATCGAGGTATACCTATTGGTTGTTCCAAAATATTTTATTTATAAATCTATTTATCTTCGAAACTATAAGGTTTATTATTAAATTATTTGTTTGGCTTCGAAACTTTATTTTAATAAGGCACCATTAAGACCTACCTATAATTATATTTATTTTCAAAACTATTCGTCATGGTTACCAGTCCAGTATCAGTGTGTTACCAACTATCCCCTAAAGAATTTTTGTTAGTGTCGGAAGACTGCTTGTACAAATACCATTTTCCTTTGGTTCTATGGTTTTATATCGGTAGTGTTAACAATAAATTCTTCTTGAACATTGCTAGTAAAATCATTTTGCTCTGTCCAGTTTGTATAATAATTAATAATCAATAATATCCTAATTATTTATTTTTTAATAGTATTAACTGTTTAGTAACAAATGTTTCTTATAAAAATGAACTTAATATTTGCTTAATGAAAATCTAAACAAAGGTTAACACCTAGCTAATATAAATTTCTTACTCTAATATTAGATTTTAATACAAAAATAACAAACATGGTATTGGAAAAAGAGCCCAAATTAATGGCAAATTCAAAATTATTGAAAACGATCGGATTATACCAAATATTGAATTCAAGTAGCCCCCATCCAAAAGTGTATGGTTACAATAGTTTTAAATGTATAGCTGTAATCGAAATATTTATTGCTACTGCAACAATAATTTCGTGCATTTTAAACGCATTCTACTGCCTGAACGACATAAACGAGGCAACGAGATATTTCTCGATAGGCGTGATGTGTGCTATTATTGCCTTTAAGTTTTGTTACATAATTGGTTACTCAGATACCATATGGAATTGTTTACGTATAACGTCCATCGAATATTTAACTTACAAGTATCACAGCAGACGTATGCTTGAAGTTGGCCGAAAGAGATCAAAATTCTTTTTGATACTTTTCATAGTTCTGTGGATTGCGGTTTACTTAAATTGGATGTTGATACCAATCGTTGTACAGAATTCTTATGTACGAGTAGAGGCGGAACATTTGATTTACCACTACCGAACAAACATAATGAGTTTAGTTTATCCGGTGACTGATAAATTTTACAATGAAAATTTTATAATGTTTTACAGTATCGAATGTATAGTTATGATTGTTGGGATTCATAGTACATTTATGTTCGATACGCTTCTAATTTCAACGTGTATTACAATCACATGTTATTTAAAGACTATTGCAAATTCGTTTAGTACACTTGGGAACGTAGAGAATCACTTTATGAGTAAGTTATGAGTTGCGTTTTAAATTTTCATAATAAAATAATATAGGTAGATACCTATATCTAAATCAATATTCGTCATTATTAATATAACAATATTATATTGTATTTCAGATAACCGGAGACCCACAGCCAGATACGATGAAACAAAAATATTAAATGATTTCAAGATTATAATTCAAGATCAACAAAAAGTAATAGAGTAAGTGATGTATCCTATTGACCTCTTCGCATGCATTTGGAATAATACAATTAATAGTATACCAATGTAGGTATTGACATTTACAGCATTTAAAGAGTTTAATATCTACCTACTTATGAGAAATTGCAACTTTGCAAGGTCCCGGATTTGTATGCAAATGCAAGTCACAAACTAACTCTATAAAAGACAATAAGAAATGTTTATTTGATTTTATAACTTGATAAGTGTTAAATGTATTAATATAATGATAGATATAATTTAATAACAAAATTCAAATATATTTATACCAATGAATCAATTTATAGCTAAATAAATTATTAATACAAATAATATTTTATTCCAGAAACATGAAAAATATCTACAAAGTGATTCGACCAGTCATACTTTTTCAAATAGCTGCTGGATCATCAGTTATAATATTACTATCCATCATAACAATAATGGTTAAATGACTTTAGTATACATAAATACGCCTTTACTTACAACATTATTTTTATACTTCAGAATTATTTCAATGGTTTTTCATTGGCATCGCCAATGAACTTAAATTTATTATCCACAATATTAACATTTACATTGGAAATATATTTTATCTGCTATTTACTTAACGGTGTCAATGAACAAGTATGTATACGATTTCAATAAAACTAATCTTATTGATGTATAATGTTAAATCATTTTTTTTAATATTTTATTTAATGTAATTAAATATAATTGTAAAAAAACCCAAGTACATAATATTATACCTAGCAATATTCCATAATCAGAGTAGGTAGGATATTTTACAGATATCTAGTTAAATATATTCGACTACTACTTATACCACGTGGTTAAATGTGGTTTATGTCTTCAAGGCATTAAGCTTCATATTTTATAATTTTGGCACGACGGTGGTCGTAGGTGGGTCCCAGGTGAGTTAATTTTAATACCTAAGTAATTGTTATTATCACTAGATTATCAGTTTTTAGTTTTCTTATATTTGGGTTTATAAACGAATTGTATGAGCTGTGTCATTGTGAAAGAAGTGGGTTATGTAGGTACTACTTGGGCCTACAAGGGGTCGGCTGCTTTAAGGGCCTGTTGAAATTAATTTCTAACTTTCGAAATTTTGTTTAAAATAATTATTCTTTATTAAATAATATTTTACGATACATATTTATATATATATTAATTTTGGTGTTAATATATATTAAAAGTAAATAGTAGTTAGTAAAAATTTTATGTTTTATATATATAAATTACATATTATAAGCTATTTTGACATTTTAAGTTGTGGGTTAACTATTGATTACCAAGAAATTAACGTGTGTATGACACCCGTGTCGCGTATATAATGGGTTTTATTTTACTATTGAAATGTATGTATACGGCCCTAAAAAATATTTAGTGCTGGGGCTCAACATTTGATTTAGGCGGCCTGGATACTGATATTGATGTATACATGCTGTCTATCATGCTTTATACATTTTCAACACTCCACTGCTTCTGCTCATCTGTGATAGTGACACATAATTTATTGTGCTATACTATTATACTGTCACTTCCTAAAGAATGAACTGATTTTGAATACTTACACATTGTCATAACTCATAGGTAATTTTTATGATTTATAGATATTTGCGCCGCGGAAGTAAAGCGCAAGCAGTCCCCGCGGCGTCGTTGGTTCAAAACTGAAAAAAAAAAAATATTAGATTTTATAAAAACGAATATAGCATACGCGTAGTTTGATTGAATTCTTTTGTAGGTAAAACCTCACTATACAAAATAAAATAATTATAATCTTATAAATAAAATGTATTACAATTACAATTTCACAAAAATGATATCGAAATTGTATTCGAGTCCCTAAAAAACTCGCTCTATCTTATTATTATCTACAGGTATTACAGTAGCAGTAGCCACTGCTGTTGTGGGATCGTCATATTATAATACGCCGTAATATCAAAACCATAGCGTTAAATCTTAATACCCAGTAAGTGATTTGAATTTATCAGTCGCTTCGATTGCATCTTCTACACAGATGACTATATTATACACTATTTAATATAATATAAACATCAGTGATCTGATATTGTAATGGCATTTTTGTGAGCATCGAGAAAAGAATAAGACCGAGAAAATTATCCGTGCTTTTTTATTTAAAAACTTACACAACCAAAGTTGAGGATATCCGCATGTACATCAAATGATCCGGCGACTAAAAATGTTTGAAAAGTATAAAATTAAAAATACGAAGTTATAGGTCTACATCATATATACATTTATGATTCCTAAATATCAATTATAATAATATAAAACAAAGAAAATCCTAAAAAAAATCACTATACTGATGAGATATTATTTTTTAGGTTAACAAGTTTTCTAAACCGTAGTGTCTGATATATTTTTATTAAACAATAATATCGTTAAATTAATTTTCTTGAAAGCTCATATAGGTACACATCTGAATCAGGAAATGATGTATTACTGCAGTACCTCCTTCAGGCATACTATTTTATGGTTTTAATTTTGTTTCAGAAAGATTCATTGAATTTTGCATTGTATAGTAGTGATTGGTTAGACAAGAGTTTAAAATATAAAAAAAAGATTCTGTGTGCTATGCGAATGAACAACGCCAACCAACTGAAGCTGCAAGTAACGTTGACAAGAATCGTAAATTTGGAACTGTTTACAGGCGTACGTGTAGTCCTAATTATTAATAAATAATGATTGTAAAACTTTATGAAACAATTTTAGGTAAATACTACCTCTAGGGTATCGTTATTTCAATTAAATTTGCTGATGTTCAGGATTTCATAATTTTAAAACTATTTCAATATTTTCACATGCTTTGTCTAATTGTTTAGGTGATGCGGACAACATATTCAGTTATATCGGTGTTGTCAGATCAGCTTGCAAAACAAACATAATATATATTAGTATATTACATACATAATAGAATAATAATAATTTGAATTAATTGAAAATTATATGATTATAATATAAAACAAACTATAAAAAACAAATATTAGTTTGTAGTTACAAATAATCGAAAAAAAGAATGATTGACAAAACATAGTCTATATTTATTATTTTTTCCTATTAATAATTATTATTACGACTAGGTCAATAGTTAACTATAAGATAATAATAACATACTATGATTAAATACACAGAGTGTAAAATATTATCTAGTGAATCTTATGGGGGTTTTTTATACTATCATTTTAAAGCAAATGATGAATAATATTTCAAAATTGTGAATTGTCTGTGAATTTGAAATACTAATAACTTGCTTTAAAATTAAAATAAAAAAAAAATCAAGGGTATTCCAAATAACCTTATAAATGCCTATTCTTTAAATGTGATTTTATAAAGCCCTCCTTCTACTTGACGTTTATTAAAAAAATTATCCACCCTCACCCACCAGAAAAAATCATAATTATTCCACTACAGGTTCCTTGTACCTATAGTGTATTCGGTTAGATGTAGGTAGTAGGTTGTATTCACGAAGAGAATGACTACCCTCGTAGTACCGCGATACATTCACCTAAAAAAAAACGTAGTAGCATTCTTGATTGCTTAAGCAATTGCCAATTATAGAGATCGTGTTAATATATTTCTTGAGCTAGGTAGGTATATAAGTAATCCATGTATAATTTTACAAAGCTGTCACGAACCATCCACACCGTGACTTACTGTCTGTCCAACCCCTTCGAAAACGGATTCTAGGGTGTGTTGCCTGCGTGCCGATTTCTCAGAAAGGGTTTTTTTTCACGAACAGCGCTCCCCGCGGCGCCGAGAAACTCCTCCTGCCGTTGGCGACGCATTTTCATCACGCTGGACAACAGTCCGTATAGTCGGCGCCGGCGTGGGTGTCGTTTACAAGGGCGAGGCCGTCACCCGCGGTCGTGTTTGTATATTATATTATATGATATCATCTTATTATTGTACCACGTCAAACACAGACCGCCAAAATCGTTTTCCTTAACCGTTTTTTTATTTTTATACTTGCGGAATTGTCACGACCCGACTTCCGAACGCATTGTTGACGACTTCAACGAATATTCGATATCTATTTTTGCCGCCGAATCCGTTTTTTATCCCGACACGCCGGCCGCATACTCACCTGTCACTATCAACAATTCGCGTACCGCGTACGTGTACGAGTCTTATACGCCCTGTTTATTCGTCATGTGCCTCGACGTACGCTATCTCAATAATTGTCACAAAAACACTGCCGCGTGACACGACACAACGTATAGCGGTTCTTAGGGGCAATATATTGTTTCACGCCGCATACGCGTATGTTAAGTTACCGAAATTTTACACGTTTTTCATATCTTATCGTGATAATACAATACAGTAATATTATAAATTGTAAGTAATTGTCGTGAGAAGTGTATTTTGCTGTACGAAAAAAGCATATTAGGTCGTGTCTATATTATTATCATCATAATAATATAATAACTCTCGCAACCGGACCGCAACAGTCCTGCAGCGATCGATGGACATCAAGGGTAAGGTCGCCATGGTTACAGGCGGGGCCGCCGGCATTGGTCGCGCGTACTGCGAGGAACTGCTGAAAAACGGAGCCAAAGTAAAATTTCGTTTAATTGTATAATAATAGCATTGTTATTATTTTGTACTGTTGGTGTCCCCATGGTGCAGGATACGGCGGAGTTCATTTTTCGGACACTAAGTCCTCCGCAACACTTCATCATGATATAGTAAAGACGTTCCTGTATAGAATCTACCACGCTCAAAAGCAAATATTGAGAAAAACTTATTCATAGATCAAGAACGACAAGAACCCCCTTTATTGACATATTTGTTTATTTATCTCTCTTTGTTTAGTAGGAAATAACGATAGAACGGAATTTTTTTAAATATTGTATTATTTCTGGTTTTATTATATTAATTACAAGACCCCCCCCCCCCCGGACAACTATCATCTTAAAATTGAATAAAAAATATTTAAAATATTTAAAAGTGAAATGTACAAGACTTTTTAAATAATAGAAAATGTTTGGTATTTAATTAATCATAATTATTATTTATTTATTAATTGGTTGCCATGGCAATTGTATGAATACGTGGAAGATAAAATAAACAAAACTATTTCATAATATAATAGATTTATTTTATATGATATATATTAACATACAACATACATATAGAGGTATACCATTACATTTTTCATTCTAATTTCACTCTTGGATTACTCTTTTTAAACTTTTAGAATACAACATTTGAATACAAAATGTTGTATCGAGATTTTTCATGATTTTTATATAAATTGAATAAATTATAACCATGTGTAGGTAAATAAACATATATGATCTAAACCTATGTATAAAAAAAAATAAGAACTTATGAAAATAATTGTTTTTTTAGAATAAATAAGTCCAAAACCATCAGTTTTGTCTGTTACACTTGTTTACTATCCTTTAAAATGCATATTATCATTTAGGTATACAAAACTTTTAGCGAAATTATAAAAAATAAAAGATATTTTCCTAGTGCATTATTCAGAATTTATAGGGCATTTTTTAGGGCATAAAAATCCAAGGCCCTATTATTATGTAATTTACAAAAATATCAATTAATTTACAATATTAACAGTTTTAATTTATTCTGTTATTCTATTATTATTTCATTCTCGATTAAGGTATAAGTTATAAGCGATTAAAAATGATATCAGAAATCGTAAGTTGTATGTTTTTATCGGTTTTATATTTTAACTGTGATAAAAGTTAATATTTTCTAGTATATATCTTAAAATATTTTATTGACAAGTCCTCGTGATGTACCTTAGCCACATATTATAGAATACACATTTTTGCTATCGTAAGAAAATTAACTGTGATGAAAAAAATATGAAGTAATTAATTATTTGCGGTTATAAAAAAAATTACAATAATAATACTTATTTTGATGTTTGTCTGTTAAAATAAAAATAATGAATAATGTTTGCCAACAATTTTGTAGGCATTTACCCCAAAATTTCGTTTAGGAACGTTTCGTTAAAAGACCGCTTTTAGTGTATCAAAAGATAGTTGAAAGAAAAAAATATTTAACTCTTTTAAATTAAATTTATACTAATTATTTAAATTCAAAATATTAATGCATTTACTAAACTTTAAACGCCAAAAGTTAACACAATTGATGATTTGACTATTACAATTTTCAGAAAAAAAAGCTTTACCAGAGTCCATTAAAAAATATAGTTGTTGCTATTTGAAAAAATGAAGTTGATTTTGGTGTTGGTACAACTGCGTGTTCAAATTTTTTTTAATTTTTATAAAAAAAAATTCCTTTTGAAAAGAAACTCATATTTTTTGATATTTTTTAAGTCCCATGTCATCGATCCATAATCGTTAAAAGCCCTCGAGTATAATGACATAAGATACATCCGGTATATAACATTTACCTTTCATGGTGACATGTTGTCATATTATAAGTTACATCTACTATGCTATCTTCGACATTAATACATTGATCATTTATGTAATTAAGTTAGTATTGAATTTATAATAAATATATGTATTACAGGTATCCATATGTGACATCAACGAAGACGTCGGTGTCAAATTGGCCGACCTATTAGGTGCCAAGTTTGGAAACGTCAAAGTGATATTTTGTCCGTGCGACGTCACCGATTATCCACAGTTTCAAGGTAAAAACTTACAATTATATACATTGAACTAAATAAGTATGTATTTAAGGTAATGGTCAATAGGCATAAATTATTTAGATTTAGTGTCACGGTGATAGTTGCATATATAATGTAAAATATAGTAGGAAAATTCTTATTGCTTTTACATTTTTTTAATTAGCTAGGTGCCTATTGTTTGTTAGTTGAAATTTGCTAAAATTAATGATAAATTATTATGGTACCGATTATCGAAGAACAATAACAATAATTAATATTTAATATCATAACAATAGTCAGGCAGGAGTGTGAAAAATATTATTTTGGTTTACACAAACTAAAAAGTCGAAATCAATTTATAAAACATTTAAGTCAAATTATTGATTTCCATAGTATAGGTATTCAAAAAATGATGTAAGTTTATGCAGTGATCAAAGTATGGGTGGTGGAATAGGTACGAGGGATGGTATCTTTTCACTTTTTTTAATTTTAATTTTCCATCCTACCACTAAAAATTTTCTATCAAAACAGCCATATAATTTTTTTCTTGGCCCTTGAAAAATACATTTCATTATGAATTCTGATGCATTTTTTTTTTTATTGAAATCTTATTGTATCTATTAACATGTATTCGAGTTGCAATTATATTGTTACCTTACCTGATGTTATTAATAATTTTATAATTTGTTGTATTTCTGAATTTTTAAAAATATATTGTGGCAGGATGTTCGGTAGGAAGGTATTACTTATCATTTGTTTTGATCATTTTATTTTAGTTTTTTTAAATGTAATAATACATTTATTAGGAGTTAAAAAATTAATTTGTATTGTTATAATTTATATATTTTGTAACTGAACTACCCCTAAGATGATTACTACTATTATTATCATTGTTATTTTGTAAATATACATAATATTTTTACAATATTACAACCACAAATATTACAAACCTAGTTATAATTATAATTTACCCTATTGTATGATTATAATATGGTATTATATTGGAAAATATATGAGAGAAATGTCTTGTTTGTATGTTGTGGTAGGGTTAGGTTTGCTTTCGTGGTCTTCTAAGAAGATATATTGATGATGATATCTTTTAAGTGTGGGTTTGGAGGATTTTTCGTCAATTTTGCAATGATTACATGGTGTTTTATTTGTTTGTCTTGAAATTTTTTAAATAATTTGTCAATCCGTGTTGGTATAGATAGAGTAATCTCGTGTATTTGTGAAACTGTTTATTTTCCATGAAACAAAAAGCCTTTAATACTATTTCCATGGAATTTATTTTGGAAAGTTTGTAATTTGTAATTTTTGCATGGAGCACAGAAGCCAATATTGAGCATATTAGTGTTATGTTAGTTTTTATAAAAATCCTTTAGGTCACATCCTATCAAAGACCTGTGATATATTGAGAACAGTGGTCTTTAAATATTTTTAACTTAACCTATCAATGTTGGTATATTATAGTACAAGTTAAAATCTAATTTTATGGGTGATATTGATGTATGTTTGGTTATTTGCAGATGCGTTCCGAAAGACTATAGCAGCTTTTGGCGGACTTGACATAGTGGTTAACAATGCGGGTGTGTTCAATGACCGATTCTGGGAATTCGAAGTGGATGTGAACTTGGTAATACGGTACACCTAAATATTTTGATTAATATTATTTTTATACATGATAGGTCTGCTATAGTATAATTTAAAAATTGTGTCGTTTCGTTTCGATTATCTGTAAAAAAAGAACCCTTAAAATATGTTTTGAACCAGTAAACTACTAACTCATTACAACAATATAAATTAACCGTATACGTTATTAATTTATAATTATATAATAATAATCCACTAAAATTATAATATTAAACAGTACATGCGATTTGAAGCTCATAAAAAGGAATAAATATAATTTTTATCATCTAGAAAGTCTTATATCATTGATGTTATAAATATTCGAAACGCATGCACACTCGTAAAGTCGTAACACACCCCTATTGAAGTATTGACTACATTTACGATCTACATTTTACAGGGTTATGCGGAAAAAATTAAAGCTATACGCTTATGCAGTCACGCACGTATTTTTTGGTTCGATGACCACCACGCCCTATTATACTTTCCGTTTTGTCAGAATCCGTACAGTCTAAAATAACTAGTTATTTATTATTTTTTAATATCTAAAATCGGCATTGGGTTATTTCAAACAAAACATTTCCCCTCTAATTTGAGGACATAAAAACCGACGCTTGATAGCGATAAATCGAAAGTGACCAATTATTATAATTTATAAGTACAATAAGTAATAGTACTAATAAGTAACGTATAATTGAGCTCCCATTACTTCCAGAAAATTCCCGAAGAGTTGCCTATTAGCAGTGGCGGCGCCAGGAGGGGGGGGGGTCTGGCGCCACTACCTATGAGAAATATAAGCACACCTTGTATAACACCAGGGATAGGCAACCAGCGGCCCGCGCACCCTTTTTATTTATCCCTCTCTGCGTTTTGCAATAAAGAATTTTCATGAGAAAATAATCAAAAAATAGTTAATTCGAATGACAATCCGATAATCATGATTTTTTGCTTATGATTTATAGAGTATTATCGATTGATAAAATGTATTATAAAGTATGATAAATAATAATTTAAAAAAATAACTTCTATAAAACTAAAATTTAATAAAATACTATACTAAAAAGGTTTATAAAAGATTATTATTAAGGGACAAATATTTTTTAAAAAAATCAACTGTTTTTGCTGATAAACGGCAATTCATTTCTTCAACTATACGATCAGGCGTGGATCCGATTTTGGTTTCTGTCAAATTTGTTATATGATTTTTACAAATATATTATCTAATATCTAATAATATTATCTCTATTAAATATAATGTATAGTCCTTCTGATAAAAAATGTAGTACTAAGTTATTTAAATATATTATGTATATAATGAGATCATTTTAATAAATACAAAATAACACATATAATATTATTACCAGCCACACCTTAATATTCGTATATAATATTATTGCGGGGGATGAGGTGACCGAGTGGTCTGACGCGTCCGCTGCGACGCAGCCGGTCGCGGTTCGATCCTCGGCTACCGGGCGGCATTTTTCTCCGGACAAGTCGCGGTGACCGGAGAACAAGTGCTGCCATCCCCCACCCCCGGGGCATGGCAGAAACCTACGGGTGCCCCATTCGAAATTCTGCCAAAAACAAACACACACGTGTTCCCCCCTACCGTACAAACAAACCTACAATACAAATCCTACTACAGCTAATGGCCTCAGTTGCCGAAGCTTAAGATCAATAAAAAAAAAAAAAAAAAAATATTATTGCCGGGTCAATTTAAAAATTGATTAATTTTATGGTTCATTAAAATGTAATGGACTCAATGGGACCATGGGGCTTAAATCATGTTTAAGCGATCACACACTATTGATTTATTAAATGTTTGGTAATTGTTTATGTAAACTTGCAACCCATACAAATTAGATATATTGTAAAATGTGTATGGGTCTATTGCGGCAGCAGCTGTCTGATCTAAGAAAGGGTATACGATTTCATCTAAACATGCGGTAACGTCCGACTTCCGACTGTACTCTGTAATTAGTTTTTTTTTTTTTGTCCCGTTTTGACCTTAAAGATATAACATAAACCCTTAGTTATACCTCGTAATTTATAAACACGATACACAAACATGCATAAAAAAACAAAAAACTCAAAAAAAAAAAATACATAATTTGTTATTTTTATCATTGTTACATTATAAACGTGTGGTTTTATGAGAATGAAGACTCGATAATGTATTGAAATGCATTGTCCTTAATATAGAATGGAGTCATCAGAGGAACACTGCTGGCGATGCAACTCATGGGCAAAGACAAAGGAGGCCGTGGTGGTACAGTGGTCGTAACTTCGTCTACAATGGGATATAAACCATGTCCTAGCATGCCGATCTACACAGCCACCAAACATGCTCTCATTGGTTTCATTAGGTCATTTGGGGTGAGTTGCATAGTTCAATAATATACATTATATTATGTTTATGTAGTACCTAAAACCTACCTATCTACCTACCTATAATATAGTATATGAAATATACATACCGTCATATCTATTTATTATAACATAATATTATGTACTTATAATTGTACAAATATTAATTAAGTGATTTAAAATTGTTACATAAATTTATTACATAAGGCTAGGACTGGGTGACAATAATTATAATTATATTTCCGTTGAGATATATCTTATTAGATTAAACTAGTTGTATTTTAGAAATTCAAAGAAAAAGTTTAAATAGCTATATATCATCAATGATAACATTACCTTTTTGCTAAAATAATTTATATAACAAAGGATATTTCATAAACATGAACGGGATTTAAATGAGTGATACCTATTATTATCTGTTTTTTATATGGCGCCTCTGATTTTATATTTGTTGTTATCCGTTATTTCCTTTCGATTTGAAATTTTTAATGGTTTCTGAGATTTGGTATATTGTGTTAATTATGATGCAACAAATTTTAGTACTCAAAACGCATTAAAATCGCGGGGAAAGTGCCGTTCTCACTTGTCACCATAGCCAGGGTGCGCATATGCCCAATATTGTATTTCAAACTTAAACCGGACATCGGAGTATATTATATGTTGATATTAAAAAAAAAAAACTTTTTCAATAAAGTTATCTCTAAATAGTTTTCGTCCATGTTTATGAAACACCCTATATTATAGAGTTTGTGTAAATTGCATAAAAATGTAAAACAAATATATATATTAATATAAATTGTTAAACTTCAGTTACATGGTGTCATGTTTACTTTTTCTGTATTGATATTAACTGCAAATTCGACTACTATGGCCAACAGCAGTTACCTACACTCTAAATTCACATTTTAAAATTAGTTTTAGTAGGTTCATTAATGGTTGTAAATAAATAAATTGTTGTTAAAAATACCCTCCAAATTGTGCCTGGCAAGTAGCACTCAATATATTGTGATGTTTTTAAATATGAGATTTCACTACCATAGCTATTGGCGATATTACGTGTTCTCTACTTTATAACTGTAACGCATTCTAGGATCCTTATCACACGAACTTAACAGGGATTCGAGTGATCGCTTTATGTCCAGGGATGACACTGACCGATGCTATACCCGAGGACGTTAAATTGGCGTTATTGTCGCCCAATTTTATACATCTCTGGGATAAGGACGTTGCGTCACAAGCACCTCAAGCGTATGTAGATCATCGTTAACCAAGTATAAAAATTGCTTAAGTCAACACGATTTTGTTTTCAGCGCCCAAAGTGTGGGACGTGCGCTAATTCACGTACTGCAGAAAGCTCAAAGTGGTTCGGTTTGGGTTGCCGAGAACAACAAATCAGCCAAAGAAGTCAAGTTCCCTAACTTTTAATTTTTAGCGCCATTTATCAATCATTTTTTTTTTTAAATAATTGTTTTGTTTTTAATGTTTAAATTACTCTCCACCTGTGGTGGTGGGAACCATTTTATTTATATTTCATATAATTATATTATGTTTTTCGTATTTAAATTCAAAACCCATAATTTATCGTTATTAATTATTATTGTTTTATTCGCTGAAATCATAATGCTTTAATAGGTTACATATAATGTATAAGCCGGTATATTATTTCATTTGATAATTAATACTTAGCGCAGTTCTTCAATTGATTTGGGTATAGTTAAATAAAAATACACTCATATTAACGTCACTTCGACGGAAATATAAATTAATCAACTTACATCAAATATAATCATATCGAAGTATACATAAAAACTAAATACCTAATGCTCATATATTAATCGTATTATACATAAATAATAAATATATATGTGTATATATAATATATATATAACATATATATTTATATATCGTAAGTATAAATAGATATGCAGTCAGAAAAATCGGTCTAATATATTGTCAAACAATTATCTTGACCGTTTCTTTTTTTGTATCTTACGATGTATATACATATATTTATTTATGTACATATATGTACACATGTATGTATATATAATTAATTATTTTTATGAATAGAATTTTTTAATAATTGTTTACGCATTACACCAAAACTAATAATAATTGTAATAATTAACTATTCAAATTTTGTATATTTTTAAAATAATCATCGGCTGTGAAACTATTTTGTTTTGTGATAGGTGTGGTATGCTATTTACTTAATTACTAACTACATAATTATTTCAAACCCCCCCGGAATTTCTAAGTATATTGTTTTATATGATAAAATAAAATTCAAAATCAACAACAGTTTGCTAGGACCGTTCTTATTAAAATAATTAAAAATGAATAACAATATTCCATTATTTTTTTTCCGGCCTATGATATTTTGTTTTTGTATTTTTATCATATTTGTCTTATTTTATGTGCATCACAATAATACTTCAAAAACAACATTCAAAATTTAAAAATCTAAATGTAGGTTCATTATAACTGTTAGATATTCGACAGTAAATATTTTGTACCTATTCCAGGTAAAATTATTTGTGCTAAGGAAGACGAATCACATATACATCACGCCCTTTTAAAATTCAATGTTCTTGCCGAAGTTATTTGAAATTATTCAATTTGTAGATAGCATATCAGACCACAGCCAATACATAATTATTATGTAATATATATCTATGATGTAGATATACGTTTTTTTATATGAAGCTAAATACTAATTACAATACTATTTATTGATTTGAATTTTTTTTACATACCTACCTAGTACGATGATAATATACGTATATATCTAATAAAATAAAAGTGTGTTCTACCCTTGAGCGATCTATAGAGTTTGAATAATAAGCTATAAACATCCATCCAAGTCTCAATGAATCTATTGATATAACTTTTATTGGAAACGGTCCAGTAGTTTTTGAGTCCATTATAACTTCGGATAAACCAACATCAATTTTTAGATTTATATGCTTACTTTCTTTTATGTTTTATTATAGAGTCTAATACTCTAATACACCCAAAAAAAAAAAACATTGCCAAATCTACGTTTTCTTCTTGGTTTTGGAAAGACCTAAAAAAATTAAAAATACTAAAAAAAAACTTGTCATATACCATCTCCAAGATGTAAATAGACTAGCAGTGATTATTTAAAATTTTCTTCCACAAGTTCACCACAATATAAAGCCATAAGTAAATGCGATAACTCTTGTAGTCTCGTTGCCTAAATAATTGCAATATTCTCTAAAATCTAAGACTAAAAAGTTTTCGTCTTACGTTTACGTTAAAAACACTAAACCATCAAGCGGATATTGTATAATTTTTATATACAACCATAGAGGTAAGTATCTAAGTTTATATAGCAAATTAGTATTTTTTCGAAGTAAGCAGTAATTCGAGAGCTGACCCTCGTTACACAGGTTAAGGCATACTACTAATATATACGGCTTAACATAGCACCATCTTCAGATTAAATGAGATGGTACGCTCAGCGTCACTGTCGTCTCATAATCAACATATTTACAAAAAATAAGTTTTCTTCGACTTCGATAATACTGTGAGGGAGGTTTTACCCAAAACAATTTGTAATTCAATGTTTAAAGCAATCAATCAAAATAGTCATTTTTAATCAGTTAAAAAAAAAATTACACATGAAACAAATAATGTAGGAAAATACAAAAATGATCGAATAAACAAAAAATAACATCTAAAATATACATACAATTATTATGATGTTTAAGTTTAGGCATTATTCAAAAAATAATTATAATAATGAACTGATAAATACTAATATAATATCATACACACATTTCATAAAATATGTAGCTTAATCGAACCAATAATAAATTAAAACAAATCACATTTGACGCATTATTAGACGTACGTAAACATAACGAACAAAAAAAAAATTAATAATATACCGCTTAACCGTCCTTTAGAACCGTATTTATCCATTTGTGGTTCGACTTGACTCGATCGTAGAGCCTAGGTCTCATCATGCCGTCTGCCGAACATGCAATGCGCCAATTAGTGACACCCACCAAGACCCAGCTCTTCTTATTGGCCGATAGGCACATCATCGGACTTCCAGCAAATTCCTCCTCCGTACAATCGTTATGGTCGTAGATCGAATCGTAGCACAACCCGTTCACCGTCGTGATGCTGATGTTGGTACAGCTGTCCATCGAACTTTCTTTAACCTCGATCCTCTGAAGGTTGTCTCCTATAAAAATCAAACGAGTGTATCCAATAACGTCGATGTATATTATACAACGGTAGGTACAATACATAGTATTATATTGTAGTTATATATTATTTAGGTATATTGTTTTACAATATTGTATGAAAACAAAAACTAGGGAGAAACTAACGATTTTTAGCCCATCCCAACGTCTGGCAGTGTTGAAACGGTACGTCACTCGTATGCTCGTCGTTCAGGCATACCGGACGAATGTGATCCGAATACGTGACAGGTGAACTTAATTTGACCAAAACTAACGTGCTTCCTTCCACTGGCGACTTGACCATTCCAACAATGTGCCGTTCTTGTTGCCAAGGTGACACGGCGTTCAACCTCACCGCTCCTAAACGCGCCACCCATTCGGCTTTGCTTTGCCTAAATATCCACACACAAAGGTTTTATAGTTAACACACAAAATTACAATACATATTATTATTATTATACTGTCGTCAAAGGAGCTTTCATTCGTACATTTTTAGGTGCAGGTTTAGGTATTTATTTAGTGGCAACCGCGGTACTTAAGCCGCGTTTACCTAATTGTAATCTCTCAAACGCAATCCACGTGTTTGGTCCGACAAATTATTATAATATTATATTTTATGCACTTATATAAATAAATATGATTCAATTGTCATTACCCTTGAAAACACGAAGCGCTGGTGAGTAACCATTCGGAAGATATGAGACTGCCGTCGCAAACATGAGTTCCACTTTTGTAGAGAACGGCGTGCCACGGCCAGTCTCCGTGGGAAGCCATTTTGTTCAAACCGTCGACACCGTATTTCTGTCGCCTGTTTGTCTGTATGCCGCAAACTAATACAATAAAATAACATGGGGTACCCAATGAATAATACTATACAGGCGCTAAATCACAACTAAAAAAACCTCAAAAAACTCGCCGACGGAGGATTTCAAATGACACACGAGAGTACACATGGGCACATAAATAGCGTATATATTTTATATAATATACACGTATTATAGGACTATTGCTTACCGGCTTCGTTGCATGCGACTCGCAAGACTTTCCTACTGGGACATGTGCCCAGGTTGAAAGTTATCTCGCTGGCGAATGGATCTACGACGTGAGCGTATCGTGCAGAAGACGTCGTTGTTTGCAGGTCTTCGTCGTCCACGATTTCGACACTTGTCAGATTCCTATAAAAAGTTATGGCTGTTATTATGCGCCGACCGAGTTCATAGCAAACACGGTTGTGGTAAAATTCGACATAATAACGTTGTATATATATAATAGGTATAAAATACGGTCGGACTTGGTTAACTCGACCTTTTTCCCGGTCTCTAACATTATGTTTTGTCCTTGGATCACTCAAACTTTTCGGCCGACCTCTTAGACTTCGAGTAAACCAAGTGTCCAAGTCCAACTGTATACATACATCTATAACCGAACACGTTCAAGCGGAATGCAAAGGAGCGACTATGTACATCAAAATGCATCGAAGGCAGTATGTGCGATTAAGTGATATTAAAATTAAAATAAATATTGTATTTTCTAATAATATAAATATGTATTTTTCATTATATTAACATACTGCCATTGTTTAGGTTTATTGTCCAACAAACAAAGGGCGTTTTATAAAACACTCGGACATTTTATCATAAAATTTCCAAATTGTATACTTTGTTCGTAACATCGTTAGGTTAGGTTAATCAGTGGCGTTTTATAACACGACAGTTACACATACGTGTATATTGAGTAGGTTGGAGGTATGAGTAAGTTAAATATTATTATAACGTATTACGTCTCATTGATTTACGAGTGAGTGATTGATTGGAAGATTTTTTTGTTTTTGGAATTTGCATTGTGACGTTTACGTTTTGGCAGTCCTCTGCTGCAGAGATTTTTCAGGAATATGACGGTATACCGAAGGTGTTCACTTACTGGTAGTTGAGAGTGCGGCAGAGTGACGTTGCGATTGTTTGAAGGGCTATGGACATCTTTTCGTTTGGAATGTCTGTTTGAAAATTAGCTGCACACAACTTTCCCGACATTCCTTGTTCGACGAAAAACACGAAACCTTCAGTCGGATACGCGTCAATAGTGGCCAAAGGCAGCATTTGGTCTACAGACCTACCAGTTGGCGAGATCAGTACTAAATTTAAAATAAAATATAATGGTGTTTATCATAATATAATATAATATACATATAGGTAATCATATAATATTTTACAACCTTTACCCTAATATTCGTGTGTATGCTGCATGTATATGCAGTTATAGTTAGATATTCATATTGTATTTACGTATCCACGCATGACTAAATTTATAATTTTTTTATTATTTAACTTAATATAATTCTGCATTTGACCTGTGTTTGTTTTACCATTCGTTTTCGGTTTGTTTATTATTTTACAGAATTTTATTATACTTTCATATACTTCAGGTCCAGGGACGTTCTCGGAATATTATAAAAATTGATGCGTTTCTCAAATCAAAATTTGTCTCATATTATTTTGTATGGACGCGTTATGTTATGTGAGACTGTTGGGCAGATAATATTTACGTGTTAAATACATACGTGTTAAATTGTATAATATTCACGTAAAACATCAATCAGAAACCAATTTTTTTTTTTTAATAATTGCAGCTCAGTTTAATCTATATGTACGGGTCTATATTTATACTTTTAGGGAGATTTAGTGCGAGACTCGTGAGCCAGAGGCAATGAGACAAGTGTCGATAGTTCATCTGATTCATATACGACCACCACTTGATTATATAGTATATAGTACGTGAATAATATCATAATTAGGAGGTACTCACGACAATTGCGTTCGTCGGCCTCGCCCGGACAGTCGACCACGCCGTCGCACCGAGACCGGGCCGGGATGCACGTCCGCGATGTGATGCAGTGCAGGTAGCCAGCCGGACAGTAGCCACAAGTCGTCTCGTCCGACATGTCGGGACAGTCTAGAACGCCGTCGCACAGTCGGCCCGACAACCCGGTGGTCCGGAGCTTGTAATCGCAGCCGGGCTTGGACGTGCACGTCGATCCGATGCTGCTGTAGTCGGGCAACTTGGAGCAGTCGAATCCGGCCAGCAATTTCTCTGGTATCCGGTGGCCGCAGCCCGTGGTGAACAGCCGGCAGCTGTGTTTGCAAGGCAACGTCATCTCGTCCCGATCGAGATTGACGTCCGGTTTGCACGCCGGTTGCAGCAGCTGACAGACGAAGTCCAACGTTCTCTGGTAACATTCTGCGTCTACTAGATCTCTGCGGGGAGGTAAATAGAAACCGAACGTGTATTATAATTTATGATGTATGGGAAGATAACCGCAGGTATGTTATAACGGCGATTTTACGACGGTCAACGTCAGGGCCATGATAAGCTGAATGCACTCACTATTGCAGGGCATTTGGGAATATAGTTCGTCCTAAAATGATGTCCGAGCCATGTGTCCCAAAATAAAAATTATTTTCTATTGCATAATGATAATAATGACGACATAATGTGCTTCCCAGTTTAAGTAAACGGAGTACATCCCAACAATTTGTTTTTGTAGTTTAATTTATGTTAATTTTTAAAATTTTATAATATTATTTTCAATAATTTTGTAAATTTAAATGTTGAATAGCTTTTCTTTTTTTAATTGATTGTTGCATCACATTTATTGTTTTTGATTGATACTTATAATATGATATCTTCACGAAATCAATTCTCTGTGTTTCAAATTTTTTGATATTGTCCTCATGAAATGTATTTTTTTTCTGATTCACAAATTAAAACTTTTTTTTATAGCAAAATATATGCAGTAAAATTGTATAGTTTTCAGTTATACAATATGATAATTCAATATTTCAATAGGTAATAAAAACACATTAGTCTTTAAAATGATATATTATATTGTTTATTTGTTTTATAATATTGTTCAACATATCGACCATGAATTGCTATACATAATTTTATTGGCCTGTTATCTTTATAACCAAATTAAAGCTATAATTAAATAATGTGCGAATATCCCTAGCAACACGTTAATTTCGCTACAAATATCATGGGTCTATAAAATTGACTTGTGAATAGCAATTAATATAGATTTAGGTAGAAGATAATAAATTGAATAATATTATAAAACAGTTAAAGAATATTACATTCAATTTCAACAAGAAGTGTGCTCTTTACCTATTGAATAAGCATTAGTTAATAAAGTGTGAATAACAAAAAACCATACAACTTTCCAATATTTATGCTGAATTTTTAAGACATAAGTTGCTTTCATTCATTCAAAATTTAACCGATTTCAAAATTGTTTTTTCCCCTTCATATGAAATAAACAACTATATGAAATGACTATATTTTTGAATTTTTAAAAAATGATTTTGAGCATTTTTTTTGAAATTTTTTTTTTAGACCATGGTAAAAGGGTGGCTAATTCACATACAAATCAAATAAAATTACACAGAAATATCTGCGTTATATTTAGGTAGGTATACTCTTCGTTCAGTGATTTACTTTTGATTTTCACAATAGCTTTATTGCTATAATGATTATTTTAAACAAACATCTAAACTAAACCAATATTATAATACGCGTAACGTAGTTGTAACTATAATACTAACCTGAATGCAATCAAATCGTCGTGAATTTCATCCAAATTTTTATGTCCAAAATGATTAGGATAGCTCGTCAAATTGTACTCTAAAACGGATTTACACAAGTTCAGTCTTACTGGCGTGCATCGTCTCGGGGGCGGTGTGGTTGGATGAAATTCGGTGGTTGATATTTCTGGTGCCGTTGTGGACGATTTTGTAGATAACAAAGCATTGTTAGTAATGTGTTTGATGTGCAAGCTCCCAGGTACGATTTTCGTCGAAGGATATAAACGACGAAAGGCAGATAATATTTCTTCCACTGTAACAGACGCTGTCCATCTGACTGGTTCGAATCTCAACCAGAAGTGCACTTTCAAGTTGCCCTCATCGCTGAAAATGAAATATAAAATCAAGGATTTTACCCACTATCGTCGCAACCTATGCTATTGTATATTATATGAATACAAGCATTATATTATGATTACTTAAATATTGTAGTTCTTACGGTTCAAGAGAAATGATTTCGGCGTCGATGAATTTCTTCTGTATCGGACTACTGCTTATTATGTTTTTTATTAAATGTGTGTAGTTTAAGACGAAACGTTGGTAGTCTTGACTGTCTGGGTTGTCGTAGTCGATTAAATCTATTCCCTTTTCGTCCGCTCTCAAATCTCCTCTAAATATCTTTTCTTCGCCATTATACGTACGTTGTAAATAATCATCTGAAAACCATTTTAGTTACACTTAAAGCACGTTATTTTGATATTTATAAATACACGCAATCAACGGTATCAAAGTACCGTTTTGTTTCTATAGTATAGACGCATAGTTTATTTCAACTAATTGGTTAGAATTTTACGGTTACCTACTGTATCATATCAAATATCTTGAAGTTAATAACTGAATCTCAAAATCATAATTTATTATTTTATAACTCTTCTTTCTGCGCAACTCAAAAATTTAATTATATGCCCAAGACATATTATATTTTACATTTAACTTAAACTGCAGAATAGCTTATTTAATATCTTAAAAATGATAATTTATCTTCCTAAAAAAAAAACACTAATGACGAGTATTCAATTTAAATGATGATTATAGTTATTATATTACTATTCACAATTATTTTATGGTATAATGGCGTTTACATATGTATTTTTAAAGTTAATTTAATTTAATTAATTTGCATTATATGTAGTCAGATTTGAGATGTGTAAATGTACATAATATTATTGGTATACCCTTGCCCATCAATTGTTGAATTTGATGCAGAAGCTTGCCTTAAGGAAAGTTGGTATGTGTATGTCAACATAATTGATCAAAACCCTGATGTAAATGTCTACATTCGGTAGGTAGTTAATGAACATGAACGAATTTTATGGACAACATGTATTTTTGAATATATTTTTTTTTAAAGATCATTTTTTACGTGTGTGCAACAAATTAGAACCGCTATAAAACGTGATCGATAATAGTCAAATAACTGTTTTTAAAACTCGCTGAAAACTACCTAATCTCAAATGCAACTAAACATAGAAAATTATTGGAGAAAAAAATTTCAAATATCCCATTAAAAAATATAAAATAATATATTATAGATTTTCATCTAAAATACATCCTTTATTTTTAATTTAAAATGTATGTATTATAGTAATGAAAAAATTCGAGCTGATAAAAACATAATCAAACAAACGATACCTACTTTTTACTAAAGAAATTAATTGCTATAAAAAATAATTTATAAAAGACAAAAATTAATTTTATATCAACTGATAATAGCTTTTTATACATTTTTTAAACTACGAATGTGTCAACGAGGTATCTTAAAAATAATAAGAGGCCTACTGCCTGAAAAGATTGAAGACCCCGTTTTAGTCACTGATAATAGTCGGACTCAAGTCAAGCTTTAATCACATCCGGTCACATTTCTGTCGTTCTACAATCATATCTCACATTGTTAACATAAATCAAAATAATTATAAAATGCGTCCCTAAAAATTCAAACCTGAGTGACTTATCTATATCCTATATGTCCCTTAACTACCGGAAATATTGCCGGTACAGTTATGATACGGTTCAACTAAAACATAATTTATTAAAATATTTATTTATTAAGTTTTGACTAAACATGTGTTGTATAAATATGAAATGGTATTTTGCTCAGCCGTGCGTGTATTATGCGTGTAACTAAAATTTAATATCGATTGTTCGTAGCATTTTTTATTCCCGAAATCATAAATCGAATCACGATCACCTAATTGCAGCCCAAGTCAGAAAATCAATTTCCTTTATTTATGCACATATACACATTTTTTTTATTGTTGTTATTATACTTACGTATTTTTTAAGCGTTTTTGCCGATGAACAAAATACATCGACTCATGGACGTGTGTTTCGTGAATAGAAAAAAACAACACAATGGATACGGTCGATCATGGGTGAAAGGAAGCGCCGTTTTGTTACACTTTCAATCGGCAAGCAAATACCAAAACTACCATATATTACACGCAATCTGTACGAAATCATGTCTAATGACTGCATAATGCACATTTTATACGTCGTGGGATATTGTACGAAAATCACTATTGCCTAAATAATAATAATTACACGTTGAAAACTCGTGTACCTATAGGTATAATCAATTTCAGAATGGAGAATATTTGTGGCCCATAGAAGGAAACTGTACGACAAGACGCGTAGCGTGCATTCATCGTGGACATACGAGAATATGAGATAATATATAATGATTAAAAAATATAATATTGTGTCCGACGACTTTCCAATTTATCTATGGTGCCTGCGTTACAAAGGTTTAATTTCTATTCGTGTACCCGTGGAAACTATTTGAAAGGTAATTTACTCATTTGCTGCTGTTAATGATGGACAACATAATTTGTAATTTTTAAAATTATATAAGTGTTTTTTATACGCTCTTAATGCACATTGTCAACAGATAATGTTAAGAAATGTCTTTGAGTATTGAGTAAGGAGGTGATACATTAGGTAATGATGATTCTTATTGATTACAATTTTAAATTTACTGATTGATTCAATATTATAACGTGTAAGTTTCAAAAATAAATTAGTTGGTACTTCTATAATCAGTATTCTGTACAAATATTTCTATAAACAAATAAAAATAGTGGTATCACTCGAAAGTTACAGGTTTTACAGTGCTAGTATTGGAACAACTTTTTATGTACAGAAGAAGTAATTTAAAAGTTTCATTAAGATTAAGTTTATAATCTTATGTTCTTTTTTTGTGAAAGCGTCAACATTTGGTACTTAACTATTATTATTGAATAATGATGTATTATTGATATAATGACGTAATTAGAATAAAATATACAACTGTTTTAACTTACAAATCAACGACTGACTGAATAAAAAATTCCAGTGCCATGTGATTGATACGAAAGCATAATATAACAATTAGTGATTAATTTAGTGTAATTGCGTGTAATAGATATTTTCGATAAAAAATATAACACTTAAAAATAATCTAAATCAATCAATAATTGGTTTATCATTTAGTTAAATTGTAATCATTATACGACCTTCGATAGTTGTATAAAATGTACAGGTACTATACTAAGTGTAGTCTTGAATATAGTAGCCCCCCTCTCTGAACAGCTGACTGCAGGGTGCTTACACCGCTAGCACGTCTATAATGTGTCTATGTGACCTTGTTATTTTAACTAATAAGAATTTTTTTTTCAAACTATTCAAAAATCTGACTCACTTAATTAGGTAGGTAATGACTAATGAAGCAATGAAGCAATGAATAGTGATCAACGTAACATTTTTATGACGAAGTCGTATAAAACTGATATACCAGCACAAATAGGTACATTTGACTTCTGGTCTTAAGATCTAACATTCCTAGTATCCGAGAAAGTGGTTTTTGTACACAAACCAAGTACCAACCGGTAGACGATTCTCAATTATTTCATAGTCGTATACTCGTGTAATAAAAACTGTGTGCTATACGCCAACATGCCTATACTTTATTTCAAGTACCTGTTGCTATTAATAGTTATTATAATTAATTAATATTCTATATATCTGTATAAAAATATCCTAATTTTTGGAAACGAAACACTTATAAGTATAATAATATGGTCAATATAGACTGAATTAGGTTGATGATAAATAGGTAGGCTTATTTAAGCAGTCGATAATAAGAAGACGTTTTAAGATTTTTGACGATTTAAGTAGCCCGTTTAATAATGTGTATAGGTATTCAGACAGATCAATGGTTGTTGTTATATACCTTTATTCATAATGTATATAAACTGCAGTTCTGATGGTTATTGAACCGAATAAACATTATAATCCAAATGAAATAAGACAAAACCTCCCATGAAATCATTTATCTGTATTCTTACCTACAATCCCACAAAATGCATTTTTGCACCGTGTCAAAAAACGTCGTTTCGTTCCAAAGATGAAAAAAACCTACAGAAAACCCGTTAGCCAAATATCCACTAGAGACTTTGTAATTTGTATCTAATAAAGAACTATTCGTCAACGAATGCTCATTTTTTAATCATTCGGCAGTGTTATAACTATTTAAATTAGCGTTTTAATCGATTAATAACAAAACGATTATTTCATGGGAGAGTATATAATAGTTGTCGATTAAGCGAAATACCTGTGCCGCTGTGCAGCTGTGCTGTAAACAATAATACTGTTACAGCACTTAATAAACATTAAATAATATGTTATCTATGTAGGCACAATTATTATATAGTTACTATATAACCTACAGTCCTACATGTCCCGCCTCAACATTTTACATACATTTTAATTGTTAAGTATTAATATTATAAAATGTAATACAATATGTGTGTTTCAGGTTTCTTCGGAAATGCCAATAACACCCTGGAAGTTGAGGCATATTTTTTAATTTAAAAAAAAATGTTATATAATTTGTAAAAAGTGTATAAAATATAAATTGTTTTAAGAAGTCTTTTTTTTTTTTGTAAAAAACGGGTACCTATAGCTGAACTTTTCTTTGTTTAATGGTTATAGTAAATCTTGAATAAAATAATAATTTTTTTTTAAACTATACAATAGAATAACAGATAGGTATAATTACTTGGTAAAAAATTTCACTTAAATAATATATACCTACCCAGTACCCACACACACGCACGCACATATTGTATGATCCACATAATATGTATTACATATAATTAATAAAACTGTTCAGATTGGTACACGATTGATATAAATCGTAAAATACTATTACATCGAAATACACTCAAATACGTGATTTTATTTTAGAAAATATTATATTATACACAGTATATTATTATTAAATTCAATTCAAACTATACTACTATATGCTTCGATAAATATACATTTTGATCATTCAAATCGTGTATCTAGATTAGATATTGTGCAAACTTTAAACGCAGGTAGGTACCTGGTTTCTTGCTGTTAAATAATACTATAATAAAACTATAACATATACGTACGGATTTTAAGTAGTAAATAATAGCTAGTAGATATGAGTTACCTACTATGATTACACGTATCTATACCTTGAATAATACACTTTTAAATTATTTCAGCATTGTAGGTTTTAATTTCGATAGCACAACCATTGTTTATATAATTTACCTGTACCTACCTATGTATTATAAAATCAATGATACAACATAAAAACCTACTCATTTCAATACAATAAATTTAAGATTACAGTGTGGGTTAACATTTGTAGAAAACTTGGTAATATTGGTGGCGAAATAAGCGAATGGTGAATGATGATTTTCGTACATAGATGCAACTATAGTAAATGGTAATATGATAAATTGATAAATATATAGCTGATAACCTATACTATATAGGATATAAAACTGAGTGTATTGCTCAGAGAAACCAATCTAGTGAGGCTGTGATGGATTCGGTATATTATGAATAAACCTTTTGATACCGTGATTTATCGATCATATAGATGACCTGGTTGCTTGATGATAGCGAATTCAATTACAGACTTACAATGCAACGGTGGAAATATATTATAGTACGACTGAATCAAAATACTTATAAATAATTGTCATCGTAAAGTCAATAACAATATAAAAAAAAATATTGAAAAAAATCATCACAATGATAGCTTTGAAATAACTTTATTAATATTTATTTAATAAATATATAACCAATCTACTGGCCATTGCCTATTATAGATTATTACAAAAAAAAATAATTTAGAAATTTTATATTTTAAATGATAGGTAATACTGTAATAGTGTGTTAGTGAATGGAAAGATAAAATATATTATTATAAATATTTTAACTAAAATTAAATACTTACATCCCGCATATAAAGATAGTGAAAATATCAACATAAACACTAATATCGTCTCGATAATGCAACACCTCCATCGATATCTTTGGCTGAATTTTCTAGTAAATTTGAGTTCGCTGTCAGTCGTTGAAGCATAGGAACTCGTTGCCCCACTTGCAACCGATACCTAAAAACAATTCTATGGTTAGGCTGATTAGGTTAAGCACTAATGTCTAATTGAAGGAAGAGGTTATTTTTCTATAATTCACAATACATTCGGTTAATGGGATGGTTTAGTGTACAGTTTAAGGTCGATAATGGAACAAAATAAACATATTATTGGATCCGGTATAATAGAATATTATGAAACCCTGAAGGCTGAAATTGCCTTGAAAATTCTTTGAGACGTCCTGTAAGGGGCTGTAACTATACATACTATACTGAGAATCGATCTAGTCCGACCAGATGCTTGTAGGGATGGAAAATTAGAAATACATCTGTAAGTTTAAGCAATTACACTAAATCACAAAATCGAATTCAAACGCCGGAACTCTTATTGATGGTTTCAGTTACCTGGTTGAAGAAAACAATAATATTTAAGTTGTAACCACGCTATATTATTATGATATCACAAAAGTTATGCAAGAGTACCTATTTTATTGCTCCGTGGTGCGTAGAAATACCGGTACGAGATGCACAATGATAGCACAATGGAAGGTCGAAATCGTTGAACTGGATATCATATATATATATATATATACAATATACATATTATATAGGAGGATTTTAAATCACGGTCAATGCCGACACATTAGTGGTTTGATGAGCCCACGATGTCCTGACAATTGTTATTATGGCTGTTGCTATAAACGTTTAGCTATATACGCCTATACACGATATAGAAACGTACATAAGTACAAATTAAATGTATAATCATTTCCAAGTAGGTCAGAGAACGCGCGGAAAACGAGTAAAATAATATCATTACAATATTACTAATTTCAAAGATATTATGTATCCTATTCAGGTTGTAACACATTTGATAATATATTAATATCTGAAGCTATATTATACCTATAGTATACCTATTACCTATGTTATAGGTATACTGACCAACATTGTAATATTATCATTCGCAGAATGATTTTTAAAGGACATTTTTTTTTTACTCAAATAGTACACATTATATACGTCATATTAAGAAAATAAAAAAAAAAAAAAAAAAAAAAATAAAACAATTTAACAAAAAAAAGTGACAAATAAACAATTAATTAAACAATTTAATTACAGCATGTACGCTATTGTACGTATAATACTTATTAAATATTATACTTAATACCTAACAAATAAGATGGAAATTAGTTGGTTAAAAGTTAATTTGTTTTAGCTTAACTAGTTTAATTTATTTTTTAATAGTTGATTTCTAAAAATAATTAATTTAGAAAAATTTTTTTAAAAAAAATGTTTTAATTATCCTATATATACCTATATGGTTTTAACAAATATAATAAAAAAAGTATAAAGTTAATGGCCCATGTCGCTAAACTACAAAAAGATCAATAAAAAAATATATATAATAATGTAATTAATTTCTTAATACTATAGGTTATTGACATATTTTAAACCGTTAATAATTTCCATATTACTGATATCGGCACAATTTAAAAGAATTGGATAACCTGTCATAAAAAAATATACACTTACTACATATTATTGTTTTAAGGGACATATGACATCATGACTAGTCAGAATTTAAACTATGTTCAACAAAAATATAGGTTAATATAATACGTTATAAAAAAATCAACGCTCTATAGAAATTAGAACATACCTAATAATAGTAGGCATCTATTTAAATTTAGTTATATACCAAGAATAAAATAAATGTGTAAATTGCAATAATCAGCTGTATAGAATTAAGTTAATTATAGTTATCTAGGTACCTTAGAACAATTATAAAAGTTAATTGAAAGCAATTATATCAATTTCTATAAATTATGAATAATATGCATCCGTAGAAAGTTTGATCTTACCTACAGCAATTTAATGATTTTATTGAAATTAAAACTGATCCAAAATAAATCATATTTATTGCGTTTTAGATGGAATAATATTAATTATTTAATAATCATTACAGGTGTTAAACAATATTGGGGTTAATGTTAATATAAAACAAATCATTTACATAAACCTATTGGCTATAGGTACATTATGGTAGGTAAGTAGTATAGTAAACTTAGTAGGAATATGTAGGTATACTATAATTATGTATTCACTATTTTATTTTATGTAAATCGAGTAAGTATTTTTAAATTTGTATAAATTGTTTTCGATTTTTCTTGGGTTAGGTTACCTGTTTACTGAATGTCGAAAAAATTTGATTTATTTATCATTCATTAAGTCTAAAACTCTAAACCCTATCTATCTTGTATGCTTTATCAAATTTTTTCAGTACTTTATGATATGAAAATTAGTTATTACCATATAACGTAATATAATATAAATTTTGAGTACCTAATACCTATTATTTTAAACTACTATACTATAAAATATGGTTTTTTTTAATTTTCTTTTATCATAATAAGTACAAGTATATACCACTAGTATTTTTTTGAAATTATTATTAAAAAGTATAAAAAAAAAAAGTTTTGCCTTTTACTTAGTAGTAATATTTACAATAATATATTATTAGAATATGTATACCTAACCGAACCTATTGTATGTCTTCACTCAACGGCACCCAACAGATTAAGTCAAATCTATATAACAAGACGATCCAATTACCGGTGAAAATATATACACGTTCTATAGCATGAGCTGTGTATTATAATACTATTATTATTTGAATATTAGTAAATTATTTTTGTTTATTATTTTGCACGGTTTACATGTTTATCTATCCGTGAGATTAACAAACATCGTTTTCTCGAGAGTTTTTATTAATAAACGAGAGAGGGAACCATACTGCTTTGATGCATCGCTTACATTACATCTTTCGAGTGGGGGAAGTAGGTAGCCGATATTAAAATATTATAATACAAATAATAAGACACCTCAATGGAGAGTTAATGACACTGTGGACAAGCCAATCGATACAAAAAGAAAACAGAGTATCATATTATCATCATAGTTGAATAACGTAGTACTTAGATATACATCTACAGAGAATCACTGCAACTATCTCCGCGTTTAATTGTAATAATTACTCGAAAGTGTTTATTTAAATTTTAAATTTTCAAAACCAGCTGTGCCCGTGAACTGATTCATTCAACTCGCGTGTCTATAGAACTACGAGTAGTCAGCCCAATTGTCTTTTTTCAGTTTTTCAGTGAAACTTTTTTAACGAAATTAATATTCCATTGTCGAAATCGTATCCGCGGTAACACGAATGCATTTTCATGGGAGTCCCGTTTAATATAAAATTACCTGGGAAGGAATAGTGTCGCGGCATAATGAAATAGAAAACTTTTACTTGAAAACTACGATAATATATAAGTTCCCGTGGGAATCGCACTGCACATGAAGTATAATTATGATTTATAATATGTTTAATTTGAAAGTGTAACATTTTAAAAACAACTTGTTTCCCATTAATATAAAAACGAAGAAAGTACCTATATTATACAAGCTACCAACCCTAATGTAAACAATTTATTTATGTGTATACAAATAATACAATATGTATTATTCGTTCATATTGTGTGAAGGAATTTTCGTTTAAATTTCTAAAATATTCTAGAATTAAAAAACACATACCTATACCTAACATTTTACAGCAATTATTAGGTAGGTATTATCTGCACATATTCGTATGAATTAATAGTTATGTACCTACCTGGTTTGTGCGATAGTTTTATATATACATATTTAAATATTACCTAACGTACACGAAAAAAAAAATTACGACAGTCATGCTTTTATTACATCGACAACTAAAATGTTAGACCTAAATGTAAAAAAAATCAGTTTTTAAATAGGTACAGATACTATCTTACAATAAAAATATTTCACTAGATAGATAGATGCCTGAGGTTTGCAAGTAGCGAATATATAGACTACATTAGGAAAAGATTTTGCAAACGCGTACGACCCACCAAAATAGAGGATTGGTATCATTACAGTAAGTCGGTAACCGTGAGTCCAATGAAAAGCAAAAGGCAGTAACTACATAGTAATACACTGACATAGTGTGCAAGACACTTGTGGATATCATACTAAGCATATTATGATACTTGCACAGTTGCACATATAAAGGTGATTTATGGAACAACACTTATGGAAGCTCTCGCTGTATATTTTATGGCAAATAGTCATAGAAACTCCATTACTCGAACAGTTCGCTTCGAAATGTACGTATGGCGGCTTACGTTTAGTGAACCCTCCTTTATATTATTATTTATTGTACACACATATGTATGGGTGTATGCACGTGTAGGTACTGAACATTTCAGACAAACGAAAAATTAGATGGTAATAAAATATATATACTATGGAAAGTATATCGAGTATATATAAACCGTGAGTGCAGTCGAAAATTTCCAGCAAATGGCCAGTAAAATATGTAAAAAAAAATGGTAGGTACGTCTGCGGACATTTCGACCGGATCGTCGTTAAAATTTTGAAGTCCAATAAAGATTGAACCAAAGCGGGTAAATTAATAGTCTCAGACCAGTATACCATTATGAACCCTACATCGTTCCTGTACACATTGCACACGCACATACGCATATTATATATATATATATTTATAAGGCTATAATATTTTATTGTCTATGGAGTTGGAATATATACAACTGCACAGTGCGGACATCGCTCTGACGCAACGGCCCGTAATGCGCGCGCGTTTTACGTTTTCAAAGCCGGAATTATGATTATATCGTTGACCTAGTTGCGTGTTTTACCTGTACGGGCAATAATAGTGTAGTGTTTGTGTTTCACTCATTTTCAGAGACGTCGTATAATAATGCCTATACAGTCGGCCACTCCGACTCGACGACATAAAAAAAAAAATAAATAATAATAATAATAATAATAATAATAATAAAATAAAATAAAACTGCTTAACGAGTCTCGTCTCGTGTATCTGATAAATCGAACGGCGGCGGTGTCGGAAATAACGGACGATAGTCGGTATAGGTATACCGTATACAGGTATAAAAGGTATATATGTGCCATCTAGGTATGGATAATAATAATAATAATAATATTATATTATAATGATAATAACAATAACACGCACTCGCGTATATTGGTAGGTATATGTAGGTACGTCCTGTCTGCTGCACCGTATATACTGATGTAAGTAAAATTATTTAAGTACATATTATTACAATATCGTATGTGTATTATATACATCACTACTATTGTTGTACACGGATACCGTACTGCAGTGGTTACCGGTTACGCGGTATAATAATAATGTGATCGATTTGTACACAATAATAATTTATATCATATATAGGTACCTATACACACGCCGGAGCTATATTATATTGTGTTATAGCGGCGTGGTCTTGGGTTTTCAGTGTGAATTTGCATCGGTTTACGGTTTACCCATCATCATTTCCCGTCGTGATAGTATGTTATTACCAGGTTTAATATGCACGATGCACCTGTTGACTATTATGTTATTGTAATTTACCTGCGTATAATATGAATAATATATTATGTGCGTTACATTAGTCCGTAGTACCATATGCATAATGTCATAATATATATATAAAGTAGAGATTAATATGCGATATGTATGTATAGTGAACCTACGTCGAATGTGTGACGGGCTAGGATTATATTATATCTATAATACGTGTCAGTTGTTTGGCGCACATAAATAATTATAATATCCAAAATGCATATTTTTGATTGTCGTGTCCTGTGTCCGCGAGTGTGGCCAAGACGATTTTATACATATTTTTTTGCAGTGCACATAGTTAAACTTGACATTATTATTATGGTTTAACGTGGTGACATTGACATGCGGGCATACGATAATATTAATGTATCTTAATACAGCCATATAGGTAGTTCGAGACCTGAGCAGCATGAGATCAATAAGTTTTTACCGACCAGTTGTTTTCTAAACGCGTATTACTTCTTCTTCGCCTAGATTATTGTGAAGGTAGGTCATACATAATATATATGATATATATCCCATATAGGTTAGCGTACAGACGACTGCGAGGATTTTCAATTTTCGAAATTTACACAAAACGCATTAAACTACACGATAATATACTGTCGCGGTAATTTGTGTACTCTATACATATATTATCCGGGAATAAAACACAATTTGCGTACTCCGAATATCGATAACATTGCACGGGTAGGTACTGGAAGTGCATAAATTATAAACAGGTACCTGCAGCTTACCGGCAGTATAGTTTTTGAAATTCAAATACACAGAGACAAGAACCCATACACATTTTGCTCATCTGCGATCGCAATATACCTGAATATTAGTAGGTGCCTACACGGGTATTACTGCTATAACTCACTACCTGCAACCTATTTACACAGTCTTAACACTATACGGACATATAACACGATTTATGTGTGTTCAGCCACCACACGGGTGCCGGTGTCGAGAGTGAACTACTTCCTTCCAAACGAATTACGACTGCCGCCTGTACATATCTGTGTTTCCCTCGGAATCAATAAAAAGTCGTTCGTTCGAGCAAACACGATATACGCTCATCATTGCACACCACACACACACCGCGGCCTGCAGGACATCAGCAGCTACCTATATGGGTGGTGGCAGCTGACATATCGTCAATATTGTATTATGAGCGTGTACCTACAAAACTGCATTAGTCACTGCGGAGCGGTTTCTCCTGCTTTCACGTGGATCGCGAACAAACAAAAACGTACGCGAACAAAATAATACATTAATACGTACGGCCAGTAGGTATTGACGCGTGAAATTCTGTACATATATTTTGATCTGTACACGCGTCCTTCCACGAGACAGAGCTGACCCGCAGCCCAACACCGCTGCGGTTTTAAGTCACGAATTTATATTTATTTTTTTTTTTGATCATTCTATATTAACACGCGTATCTATCAATGGGCTGCTTCCTCTTAGACCTGATGCATTACAGTTGTAACAAACCGTTTCAAGTGCACGCGGCAAATATATTAAGTGGAATATTATGTTTTTTTTTCTTTTTCGTGACACGGTTATTTATTTAAATTCAGACGGAGCAACGTCAGCGGGTTGTGTTATAAGTACCTAGTTGAATGATATGACACGAAAAACAAAAGAAAAACATGCACGAACTCATAACACCGACTAGTAATGTGTTTGGTTTAAAACTGAATTCAATTTCATATAGTATGATCTAGCTGCGGTTTTTAAAATGTATTCATTCCGTCAGCAATTCCGTACTAATTATTAATTAATTGTAAAATATTAATATTCGGTTAAATTGCGTAATACGAATGTGTCTTCTATATTGGTTGCAGGCTAAATAAACAGTAGAAATAGGCAGGTGCATACTATACACAACGGTTCAGTTTTGTTTGAGAATGGTACTAATCACCTTTATCTGGTCAATTTATAGGTTAATAATCTATAGAAAAATCTAGAAAATCGAATCATTTTGGTATATTAGTCGAAACCCAACCAGTATTATAAGTTGATACCGGCTGGTACAATATCTTCAAATATTATTTATTAGTGGTCGTGAACATACTACAAATGTTATAATACTTCGTCAACGAATGATTTAAATATATTTTTGTATTCACAATACTGAAACATTGAAATTCGAATATTTATTTATTTTTGTGTCGATTGATAAAAAAATGTGTTATGAATATCTTATGATGGCAATAGTTTTGATGTTGGATTTGATTTATATGTATTGTTTTTACATTCTCATGGTTTTTTTATTACATTTATTATGTTTTAATATTATCCTTTATGAAAGCTTGATCTCTTTAGTAAACTGATTTATAAGGCTATATTATATCATATAACTATGTTGTCATTAAATATTGAATCATAATAAATAGCTTATCTTATTTATTTGACTTTGTCCAAGAAAAATACTGGGTCTTGTTCGGCAGAATCACGTGCGAGTTCCTCAAATAGTAATAATAAAATGTAATAATATACCTACTAATATAGCATTAAAAATTATTATAAGATATCATGTATGATAAGAAATAATTAAATTGGTACAGACAAAGGTACATCTGAATAAATCCAAGTAGGTAAGGTTTTGAATGTTTTGATTAATACCGTTTTACCGCCCTTTATCATACGTAAATTATTTTTCTTTACATAGTTGTACTGTACAAGTTAAAATAAAATATCAATATAATATTGTTTAGTTTAATTATTTAAATTACTATTTTTAGAAAAATATCCTGTACAGTTGAAAATCGATGTTTATTATTTAAATGTTTTTTCAAGAAAATATACAATTATAATTTGTATCATTTTTTATTTTTATGCATTTTACCTAAACATTTATAATGCATAACAAATTATACTACTCAAAGATAAAATATACTTTTAATCAAAATAATGCAAATACGTTAAAACCAATAAGTTAATATAAATTCAACTTTCGTGAAACGAAAAAAAATAAATAGAACATAACTCTTCCGCTTTAAGAAAAACTAATTGAGATTAACTAATATAACAATGTATTCCCAACATGAATTATGAAACAGTTATACCTAACTCATAACTCATAAGTATTTGTTTTTAGTTTTTATTAACTATCTCGAGTGCTAATGCAAACTTTATGATTTTTTTTGCAGAAAGTATACCTGATGGTTTTTAGTACCTATTATAGGTATACAACGTGTGGTTGTGCCTGTCGTGGTAGCCAGTAATACTTACTAGCCGCTACCTACCTATTAACTGTTATACCGATCAAAAAAATATTTTTAATTTTTAATTTTACGCCTATCAGCTATAATAGTTATATTTATTTATAACCGTTAATGCCTCATTCGTATAATAACCAGTAGAATTAAATACAAATATGTCTAATACTTTCTTCTGCGATTAGTTATAACGAATAGTTATATTTTATATTAAACCTAGTTATATCATAGATCCTAGTATTATTGTAGTCGAATAATATTATAGGTAGTCTATTAGCCCCGAGGGCCGAGAGTCTAATGTATAATGTATTAAGTAAACAAGTGTTATTTATTTCTGCGTAATGGTATGTGTATTCGACTACTAAACACTAATGTTGAACTATAATATTTTTATATACTTATTATCGGCACCTACTCAGATTCACAATGTAGATCAGTATAAATAGAACAAAATATAATATTTTATAAACAGAAAATTAAAGTGAGACGCATTATTGTAATACGCCTAACAAGTTCATGTATAATATAATACATATAAAATGAATCTAATATCTAAATAGTATAATATGTTGGCACATACCATTATCGTATTATAACATTATATGTCGATATGATACGAATCATTATAATCATAACGTTTTTTAAAATACAAAAGAACCAATATGAACTAATTTTCAATGTTTACATATAAAGGCAGGTAAAGGTATGGTGCATGGGATATCATACTAGATACTGCATGCTGCATGCATTGAACTATTTTAATAATTACTCACCTTTGTATCCCAGGGATTTTTTCCGGTCATATTATTATGAGGATCTTTTACATTTTTTGACAAACAATTTAATTTTTATTGTTTATAAAACAAAATCGCCTACTATTGATTCTTTAGTAGGTTTATCGTGAACTATATAATTTGCACAAGTTTACAAACTTCAAACACTAGTGAAAACGTTCAAAAATATTAAGAAATATTTAGATAGGTATGTTAATTTGTGTTCATAACCGGAAATAATAATTCTCACAAAAACGTTAATATTGTACTAAACATCACACGCGTATTATAGTATTTAACTATATTATATTCTTTAAGACGTCCTCGTGAATAGACTGTCTGCACATGTACTAAAAGTACCGATAGTCTAAGACTCTGAGCTGTATCCGTTTGATAGCAGAGTGGTCGGGGAGATCACTTTCTCCGACATTTCCCCCCGTTCCAGTTTTTTTCTACAGTTCGGCGCTACAAGGATACGTTTTATTTTAGAAATCCATTAGTTAAATAGCCAGACTTCGAATGTGTATAAATTTATATTTTATTATGATTTCACAAAATTGTAAGACGATAATGTATTTTTACTTTTAAAGGCATTGTAAATAGTATACGATATAATATTTCTATATTTCATGACGAAAACTTTTTTTTATTTTATTCAAATATCTGTATGAGTAGTAAGGTGCCTATAAATGCGTATGGATACTATCTAATTTATTCGTGTGGTATTTTTTCATACCATACATTTATCACGTCATCGGGAAACCTGTAAAGTTAAAATAAATTGACAATTAGCTATTTTAATAAGTCTTCGATATAAAATCATCCTGAAATTGTGCTTATTCGTTATTTATCTTGATACATCCGTACTTAGAGTATGCATCGCAAAATCAAAATGTTTATTATTTAGAACTAGATAAATATTTAATTGATAAATTATCATTATAAATAAATATGTTTATTAATTGTAATTACTGTTAAATGATTATATACATTTGTTTTCCTTGCCTAAGTTACCTTCATGATATCATTAAGTATTAGGTAATAAATAGTGCGGTTTTCGTGCCTTATTAAACACGTTTATAATCTAATGCATAATATAATAGTTATTTACAATAAATGCGAGTACTAACTTTAAAGAAATAAACGTGTATTTTCAAATATTTAAAGTAAAGTTTACTTGAATTGTCTGAAAATTATTTCAATTTTTAAAAATAAAATAAAATAAAATTATCATCTCCAGTTTAATTTGAGCAGCTTGTTATTAGTTTAGTATTTAAAACTGAACAATGAACATCATAAATCATAATATTATGTGTTTTTGAAATGCTCATTTTCGTACTATTGTACATTTTATTCAGAAAATGTACAAATACTAATTTAATACTATATAATGATAGGAACTAGAAAGAATTATCATTAACTCCCGTCTCCTGTACGAATAATGAAGTTGTTTTTCCTAATTAGAGAAACATGTGAAATTTTTGATCAGAAAATACAAACTAAAACAATAGGCAATGTATATACCTACGTATATACATATATAAAGGTTCAAGCGGTGATCTATTTAAGTATCTACACTCTACACTTATCAGTTATCATCTATAGGAATGTTTTTACTTTCTTGAAGATATTTTTAGGTAAATCTATTTTTATGTACCGAAGTATATCATGTACTCAGAAGTACGTTTTGTTTTGGAATATAAAATATGATTACAAAATGTATGCGTTCATCAAAAAAACAGCTCTTAAAAATTGTAAAAAATAAAGTTGTTTGTTGTTGAGTTAACACTGAATGGATCATATTTTATAGAATATACAATAGGCAAACCACAAAGGTACCCATAATGGCATAATCACTATATTAAAATGAAAATTTAAAACAAAATTCACCGAATCGAGTACCTAAAAAAATTCCTAGTAGTGGAATATGCTACAAACATTGAGTAAGGTGTTCTAACGCATCTCATTATGAACACTTTATCAGTTAACTAGGTACAGCTGATTTTTGCACAAGGTAGTGTTGCATTATTCTTACGCTTCAAAATACCAAATAGGCAGGTACTTTTCAGTGAATTATAGTTAAAGAATCAATAGTGTTATATTTCACTATTAAAAAATAATATTTTAAACCTTATATTTATCACTTACAAAAGAAAATTAAAAAAAAAAAATAATTAATTTGATAACAATAATAATTATGGTTTATAACAAGTAAGTACCTACCTATTAATAATATAATATTGAATGAAAAGTACTTAAATACATTTTAGATCTTTAATTATATAGTCGTAACATACTTAATAATCGATACTCTGAGGATATTAAAGTGTCAACGTTTTGCACTAAATACAGGAGAGCTTATGCCGCGGCCGCTATTATAACATTTGTAAAGTCTTAAAAAAATGTAAAATGAACCTCTATGTCGAATCACTATAGCCCAGAAACATGACGGGGAAGGATAGTCGTTCAAACTTCAAGGAATTCAAGACAATCATTTTGTTATTTTTCCAAATAGGATATAGCACTTAATAGAAAAATAATAAATCCAACTTTAACCTTCTAATTTCTAGAGTACCAAGTTTCAAGGTTTGTAGGAGAGGCTCATATTATATATTAGGTACCAATAAATGGTTCATGCATGAACTCCGTGGAATTGTATCGAAATAATTCATTTAGCACAAAAAACTGCAAAAAATTATGCTGCACCCCTCTCAAACGATGTGATAACCTTTAAAGCGAAGAGGCAAAGAACACGCAATTGAGAAATACCTGCATAAAAATAAATCAGACATAAGGCAGATAAATATGTGGTGAATAAATGCAACGTCAAATAAATCTAAGCATGTTTAAACCATAATTTTTCATGAGATGAAAACAATAAGTTAGTTGATGAAAAACCATTTAGGAATTAAAAATAACTCCCAAGTTTTTAAATAAATCAACTAGTTCCAAGGTGGGATTATTGCCATTGACAATTTAAATTATTAATTTATGCTAATTTATAACTTTGTGGACGAGCATAAGTCATTGACTTACTTTACATAATAATTATACGGGGAAATTACCGAAATTCTTATAAATGGAGTTACTTATACATTATTCTATAACAATTAACCCAAACCTAGGAAATTGCAGTTTTAACCACCTTAAAAAAGAAAAATATTTAAAAATATATATTATTTTATTTAACATTCATGTTATATTATATATAAATATATTTTCAAATCGTCCACAAAAAGAAACTTGTTCTGTGAGTAATGAGTGGACACGTGTATGTTTATGCAAGAGAAATAATATTGGAGACAATTAAAAAATTAATTTTATAATTATCGAATTGATTTCGAATAGAGATTGAAAAAAACAACAAAAAAACAACAACTAGAGTTCGAAATGGGCGAAATATTAGCCTTTGCGTCCGTTCCGGTTAGTAATAATTAGAATTTAAGAGTTCTGGATCTTAAAAATATTAAGTAAATATTGAAAAAATTAAATAAAATTGCCACTCGTCATATATGTCTGAATATGTCCCAATCAATAGGATTAAAATTATCGAATTTGCTTTTGACGAATAATATAATAGAAGTCAAATATATTATAGCAAGGCTTTGCGTTGCCTACTGTCATAGAAGATAATATTATGTATAGTAGGAATTTTTTTTTTAAGTTATAAAGATACATTTTTTTAAATATTACGTTTCTAAGTATATTATACAATGAACACTCAAAACTATTAATGACAATAGATATGGTTTGACTAACTTTCAAATTTACATTATAATTCCAGATCCTGGTAATTAAATCCACCATACAAAATAATAAATGATGAGTAATTGATATAATTGAAAAATTAAAAAACATAAGTATATTATAAAAACCATAAAACAAAATTATATTTTATATTTGCTAGAAATAATATTACTATATCAGTTATTTTAAAATTAAAAATATATAATTAAATATTAATTATATACCTACTCAGATTTTATGTTTTAAAACCTTAAGTTGAAAAAATATTTATTTTTTGTTGTAATAGCCTATTGACATATCAAATGAGTATTTAGTCGTTGTCCATAGAGGTTTTACGAATACTTCTCTAGTCAATATATTATTTATTTCTAATTTGAATTCTCATTCTTTCTCTTTATAATCATTTTGTTCATAGGTTAAAATATTTTTTTTTTTGTTATTAAAAGTATTTTCAAATCGGTTATTGGAAACTGGGAAATAAGTTTCGGGTCAGTTGTTGTTCTTCTTGAGTATTGTTAAATTAATTGATTTCTTCGACTACTAAGTGGTTGTTCTCCAGTAATATTAAGTAGGTATGCTGTTTATGGAACTACTTTTAAAGGCTTCGATACCATTCTTAGACCAGTGTTATGGATAGCATCAAGAATTGCCAGTACTATTTTATTTAATTAATTAATTATTAAGTTATAAAAAAAAACACAGAATTAATTGTAAATTTACCAAAATATTTTTATTTCACCTCCGTAATGTAACTAAATATAAGTATTTGTGTATTATAAATTTTTAATACACGTGTTTAGTTTTAAGGTTGATGACAAAATAAAATTTATAGATGTATAATTATATTAAAATACATTGTTAATTTTCTTCAATTTTAATTTTTACTTCAACGACCCGTTATAGTATTACTTATAAGTTATAGTCTATAGATAGGTATACATGTTTATGTAAGCAAACCGCAAATAAGTATAGAATAACAAAATAACTTTGGTCACGAACTCGTTACAGCGTTGTGTACCACGTTTGTGGTTTGTGAGTGGAATATGATATAGCTTCAATGCGGTTTATTTTCAATTATTTATAATTTAGATCACCTCCGAAATGCATGTCAATAGTGTTAATTACGATAAAAAAGTTATTATAATAAAGAAATATGAAACATCTGTTAGAGTTTTTATCTATGATGGTTGGAATTACCGTAAACTATACATAGCTACCACAAGATACCGGTAGTGACTTGATCAAGTCACTATAAGACGTGTAGGTACCGTAAGCCAACTGAAGCGCAAAACACTATATGTATATTATAATATATTAAATGAATATTTATACATAATAATATTAATATTTAAAATTATATGGGTCTACATTTATAATCAAAGATATAGTCAGTCCATATATCTTTGTATATCAATCTATGAATCGTGTTAAGTAAGGCTTTAACTCAAGACTTGGAGTATATCTATACATCAGTAGGTACCTGCAGCACATTAATGATAATACACTAATACACAGAGTTGGGCAAGTTAATGAAAATAATTAACTGTTACGAGTTAAGTTAATTTAATTGCCTTTTTTTACCCTTTAACCTTGTTAAAAATTAATAAAAAAAATATTGAAC